AATATGTACACAAAAGAATTCGACATTTGCAAATTTACATAGTAGAATGCAATATAAAATTAATACATTTTTTTTAACTTAAAAAAATATATGTAAAGAGAAAAGGATAATGCACATAAGTAATACCATAGGGCAGAATGTGTCTGCATTTAGAGAGATCAATTCAATTTCTTTAAAAAGAAATATGAATGCATTTTTAAGATCCATAGAGCAGGTATTTTCTCATAAAAAAATGACAGACAATGGACAAAATATACCTATTAATATCTTAAATAAATTGAATACAGAGGTTATAGAACTTGCTGTGAAATGGTTGTGTATAAGGATACATGCTTGACGAAGTGTACAGAAAAAGAACATTAGGTATTTTTGAACTTAAATTCCGTGTTATATATGCAAAATCTGTCAACTGAAAATGATTAAAAGATAAATGGCAATTTTATTTATTGATAAATAACAATTTGAGGTATTTTTGAAAAAAGAAGCAGTGGGGTGGAACCTGCACAATAGGGCAGTAAAAGGACTTTGAAAAATGTACGTATGTTAATTGTATTTTGAGGTAAATAAATAAAAAATCCTTCTTATTTTTATAATTGAATTTAAAAAAAAATTAAAACGTTCCCGAGAATTTTATATTTTGAAAAAAAAATTCTAATTATCAGAGAATCATACTATCTTTATTTTAAATTTTCTTGTCAAACAACGTTTTCACCGTGATTAACTTGTATATTTTTTTCATAGGTTTCCTATTGTTTTTCAAGAAGATATGTTTCCTTGAAAACTGTTAAATTTATCGATAGACGAATTTCACAATCCCTTTACTATTTATGCATTACACATTAAGATATTTGAGATGTTGATATTTCTAAAGGAAAACTATTAAATTGACTTATTTCTGTTTTTAACGGAATTTGTTGATATTTTTTGTGAATCACAAATTAAAATATCAATATTCTTATTTTCATCCTTATAAACTAATTGTACATGAAAAGTACAATAGGAATTTTAAACTATAATTTTAGTATAATATATGCAAAATCTGACATCTGAAAATAATTGGACGATTAATGGGAATTTAAAACCTTGACAAATATGAAAACGACGTGCACATATATTTTTGAAGAGGGATGGATTGCATTAGAACGTTGCGAAAAAGAGCAGTAAATAGACTCTGAAGAAATTACATTGATTGTTCCAAAAACTTTCATTAATTTTTCAATCAAGGAAAAAATAAATAAAGCAGAAGAATTCTTTCAAATTCGATGTTTTTAAAGGAATTATAATAATGATTATCAGGTTTTCATTTCGACTTTAAAAGAAGCTTTTTCACTACGTCAGACGAGTCTATTCTCATAGGATCTTGATGTTTTGCAAAAGAGATGTTTGTGCAAAATCTTATTCGTGAAAAGAAGAAAGCACTTGCTGTTGCCTTCAACTCGACATTTAGATATATAATATATCGACGACGTATTGTCAATTAGCAATGATACGTTTCATTCCTACGTTATACGATATATCTTGGTGAGCTTGAGATAAAAAGATACCACAGAGTTTGAAACATCTGTTTTATAATTGGATATTTCAATTGATAAAGAAATTAATGGTAATCTAAAAAACAAGATATATGATAAACTTGATGACTTTAACTTTTCTATCGTCAACTTTCCTTATTTATGCAGCAATATACCTTCATCACCTGCATACGGAGTGTATATATATATCAGTTGATTCGATACGCAAGAACATGCTCTACGTATGAACAATTTCGAAAACAAGGTAAATTATTGACAACCAAGTTGATAAAACAAGAATATCAGCAGTCTCGTTTAAAGTCATCATTTCGTAAGCTCTTTGGTCTATTTGGTGACCTTGTCAGCAAATACTATTTATTATTGAGTCAGATGCTAACGACTTAATTCATACTAATTGTTAGTCCATTCTTTATACACTGATGTGACGACGGATTTTCCCGTTATTTCCCGATCATGACAAGGAGCACACGGCAGGTGTGACCGGTGGATGCTCACTCCTCCATGGCACCTGATCCCACCTCTGATGTATTGGGGATCCGTGTTTGCTCTCCTCCTGCATCATAACATTGACATTTATTCGAATAAAGATCTGCCCGCTAATACAATTTAGAAGACTAACATGTACAGGTACATTAAATATTTCACCCGAACCTTTATTTCTCTATGTCGTTAGTATTTAGATAACTGTTAAAAAAACAAAAATTGATTACAACGCATCATTTTTAAGGATGGTAAAAGGAGGCGGGGCCTAATTTATACGGGAAAAGTTTACTGTGACGTCACAGAAAAATATGACTTTTATGTATTCCTCATAATACAATAAAATAAAATGATTTGCAACTTTAAACTTTGTAGCATGATAAACAGCAATGAAACTTATAAATGCATTAAAACAAGTTACTAGTTAAATCCCATACAACTGTTTCTAAACAAATCACTGATCTCGATGAACTTGCCAATCATGACATCATTTTGGTATTTTATAATAGCAAAAAATGCGTTTTATTATAAAACAAAATATTGTGTTTAGGTTTTAAATAGGCTATTAACACCAATGTATCTCATTTGTTTATATGTAGTGCGATTATTCATTAACTATCGAGAAGATGCATTTAAAAATTTTTGTCATGTTCCTATGTTCAGGTTAGGTATATTTCATATCGAGGTGCCTCATTTAATCGTTCTTTTGCAAGGACATTCACTAAATAAATCTTAACATTTTTTAAATAGAAATAAAGGACATGTCCCTTAACTTGAAAATGCTGCTGCTTTCGTTTAATCAAGAGACTGACTTTTTAAGAAAACAAAATATTTGGTAAAAGTCAAACGTATTTCAACATGGACCTAACTACTTGAAATTTTAACTATTAAAACGCGAATTCTATTCAAAGTAGCAGCACTTTCCAGAAAGAACAAAGTATACAGAAACGATTAACAGCTTGAATTTTTGATTTCAAATAGGTTACGCCTTTACGACATCAGAATTTGTATATGACCTTCTACATTCAGTAGACGTGCTATGCATTCATCACGTGACTGTTCATCGATGGGACCAAACTTCATACAGTACAGAGTAGGTTATACTATGCTATTTCCATACGTATTTAAGTTCTGTTGCTATAAAACAGCTGAATTAAAATAAATTCATTTTTTTTTAAAAAATCACCATTTTTGCACTTCTATTTTCCGCTGATTTCTCATAGTAAGCCTTAACAGTGCTGCGAAGTTTCTTAAGAAAAACTTCTTTCGCAAGTGAGTTAAGGCTACATATGGAGCTTTCTATGCAAAATATCCTATTAAATTCCATAATTACTCTTCCCACCGCACAGAAAATGCTAAGACTTTTTTAAAATACTTTCTTGGTAGCCACGACATGCGATTGCAGTACACATTATGACGTCATATTATGACGTTATCGAGCTCTACTACACAAGTTTATAAGAAACATCAACAAAATTGCTTCGGTGCAAGGGCATACTTTCCTTTGTTTTACAGAAACAAAGTAGAAAAAGACGCAGGATATTCCAAGGATTATTGCTGCACCAATGTCGGCACTGGAATTGTTTAGTTACTTTTTATGCTGTTTTAAGTCTAAACAGGGTAAAAGTTCACAGTCCAGTGTGAGTTTCTTAAAACTTTTATCGATTGAGAAAGTGCATAGGATTTGTGCATCCATTTGATTAATTTTAAGAATATTTTCCTTAATATTATACATTGTTTATTTTAAATTAGATATGATATTGCCTTGCGCCGACGTGATTTTGTTGATGTTATTGCCTTGAATGGGAGAGAACAATAACGTCATAATATGACGTCATAATGTGCACTTGCATTAATAAACTGGATACTAAGTATGTTTAAGAAAATCAATTTGAACTTTCTCTGTGCATAAAATATTCCACTTCTTAATTTTCATTACCTCATTTGCATAGAAATATCCATATTTAGCCTTAACTCACTTGCATTGAATCCAAAAGACGGCATTTAGAAAAGTTTTTATCTCCAAATACAAAAGAACAATTCATATGATTCTTGAGGCATGATAAAACAGAATAGGATCTTTCTTTGAGATGTCTTGGGCTGCGTACAGATCATGATCAAGTAAATATGAGTCTTGTTTTACCCCTAACCATCTCATATATATGGAAGGGAAGTCAGAATTCCTTCAGAATTCATAATTTGTAAAATCGTTTTTCTAAGATGCCTCTTTGAATCTTGTATGTACAAAAACCAAAGAACAAGTTGCAACAATCTTAGTAAAGAACCAAAAACGCATACTTAGTCCCCACAGTAGAACAGAGGGCATAGTTCCATGATTAAATGGACACCAGATAAACCATTATTCAATATAATACTTTAAAGAGTTAATCTGACGAAATTGATTACATATTACATATTACATATAAGCATATGTTTCAATTAATTACAACAAACATAATATACCTAAAAGGCATCCACGTAATAGACGATAAACACATTAAAATGTGGTCTCAGACAAATACATTCATTACATATATTGGTCAACTACAAAAGTGATAAGTAAACACTGGAGTGGAAAAATGCGATCGCTTTAAAAAAAATTACAATGATAACGAAGATGCCTATCAGCTATTTGAGGAAACTTAATTCAAGGGGCCCTCAATGGGGTGTTTCTTAGCAAACCCCGCCAGGTAGGCTATCTTTGATTTTCACCCCTCAGAGAAGACCATTGATTAAAATATTAGTAGAATGATAAACAAACCAACATATGTTAAGAAATATACATTGTAGGAACACCGATAGATTAAGTAGTACATGCATGTAATATGACTAAAACAAACATAATACGTCGAAATGGCCTCAAAGTACTAGAGTATAAACAAAACCAAAAAGATTTAAAACAGTCTGTCACATGTAAGGCAGAACCTTGAAAGCAAAGCATGCAGCTTGCCATTAAAACCCATGCTATGCATGTAGCTAACCATGCTATCATATAATGGAAGTATAGCCATGGTCAATTTGACTGGTTACATCACTAGGAGCCTCATAATGTCCCGATATCTCTGGGGTTCTTTCTAGTGTTGAACCATCAGATTCTTGACTCGATGTAAATTTTAAACGATTGGATCTAGGCCACCATATTCTACAAATACATACATAATTTGTATATCCATATATATATATAAGTTATGTTCATGAATGTTGATATGAACACAAAAAACAACTATTGCATAATTTTTAAAATCTCATTTTGGAGAACATTATGTATACATATACGAAAACTTTTCACCTGTATATCTTGCGAAGAAGAATTACAGTGTTATGCATGCGTTTGTTAACAAAAATGAAGACAATATAGCCAGCTATAGGTTGTAACTGTGCAGGCTCGCTTAAGCTATTTCATAGTCATCTGAACGGTGACAACAGTTGTCAATCTGTCCGTAAGGAATTGCATGTCACACCTCACATGACATGATCTGAAGGATTTTAATTAATATTGCCGACACCAACGACAAACATCCACATATCCTAAGCTGTCGACATAATTAATTATCAAGGTTGTTTTACCTGTTCCTAAACTTTAACTTTTTATTTCTTACAAATGTGTCCTATGAAAAATTAATTTGAAAATAGACGTTTATTCTTTGTTTAAACCCACCATATATTTGGTACATCCCTCTAAATATTTTTAAAATCGGTAGGAGAAGAAATTAGTGCAGAAAAAATTACAAGTTTCCTAATTTGCAGACTTGCATAAAAAATGTACTAAACTTAGCCTCGCACTTGTTGATATGGACTATTTTTCCAACCAAAACAGCTTGGCAAATGTCATTAATCAATAAGATCATCCGAATTATTTTGTGTATTATAGCACCAGTTAGAAGTCTGAAATTATTGGAATGTACCCATATTGATTATCAAATTAGCAAGTCTCCTGACAATTCTAGCAACAAAACGCTATCATCATATCAAAGTCTGGAACTAGTAACTTGTAACCTTTCTTATGTTTAAAGGACAGATGATAAAACAAAAAATGGATGCCTGGATTGGTATATATTTTTGGCCGAATTTCATTGCAAATGAAGCAAATAATAAATTTCTAGAATATAAAGAAATTGTAAACCTTCTGTGATGTTCAAAAGTCTGACAGTCTGAGCCACCTTATAAATCTATACATATATTTTTCACTTTAAATTCCATTTTTGTCCAAATTGAATAAAAAATTAAAAGCTACGCGGTGAAAGGTATTCATTTTATTCATTTAAACATGGACCAAGTTGTTATTTTCAAATTCTTTGACAAACGTTTGTTTGTATCATCTGTCCTTAACGCTGATTTTGATTTACTAATTACCTTCCTCCTTTTCTTAAAATGAATATCAAGATGAATACCGCCACCACTACTCCAGAACAGATGCTTATAACAAGTGCAACGTTGGTTTTTGATATTGAGCTTATCTTCCTCACTGGAATGAAAATCAATCAAAATGAATATTAGCACTCGTTTCCGCGTAATTTAAAATACATTTTCAAATAATAATAATAAATAAGAATAAATCTCTCTCTCTCTCTCTCTCTCTCTCTCTCTCTCTCTCTCTCGCGCGCGCGCGTTTTAATCAAATATTTGATTTTGAAATATGAAAAATCAATTCTTTGCTCTTTCTTTTAAAACTAAACGTTTGTATTAAAGAGGTTAACACATAAATGCCTTTTAATAGGCGTCCTTACTCACCGTCACACTTATATCCACTCCATTCAGATTCACAGCCATGTATACAATAGCCATCTCTTTTATCACAAGTACTGTTGATACAATTTGGACAGATACTAGTGCAAAAATTTCCATAAAATCCAATCTGGCAGGACACACACATACCAGTTTGTTTATGACAATCGGAGGGTTGACAATTTGAACTGCATCTTTTGTCACACTGGTTGCCGTAAAAGAGTTCCTTGCATCCGCTGATACACGTTCCAGTTTGGAGGCAAATGTCATCAAAGCAGCCAGGACTACACCAAAGATTACAGTTATCTCCATATCGACCCTTTTCACAACCGTTCAGACACTTGCTGGAATTAATATCACAAGTTGAATTGAGACAGAAATCTGAACATAGATTTTCACATCTCTGTCCCCAACTTCCGCTCTGGCAGCGGACACAGGATCCATTTGTCTGGTAACATTCTTGATTTAAGCAAAGTTCTGGACAAAGTCTCTCACAGTTCTTTCCCCATTTTCCTTGATGACATTTACTACATTCACCAGAATTTTGATAGCAATCTGCACAATACTCTGGACAGTCTATATGACAGTATTTTCCCCATTTCGGTTCTTTGCACCCAGCTAGACATATTCCATAATTAGTATCACATATTTCAAATAGACAATCAGGGCATGATTCTACAAAGAATTCAAACGATATCTTAAAAATTTGCTTTTGATAAAGACTAAATATATAGTTTTTGGTTTAAATAATAGTCGAATATGAATACGAACAGCCGAAGGCTTGTAAATGAAAAAGCCATAATGTTTTTTTATTTTCAATATACACAGGACACCCTGATATTAAAATTAAAACATTATTTACATAAAAAACAACTAAATAAAAAACAATGCTTTATAATTACTTACTTTGTAGATACCCTTCGTCAACCAAGGTCAATATTACAATTACTAACAACGTATGCATTTCTATCAAAGTAATAATGGTTACCCGGTCTAACAAGTTTGTGATGATATGTTGGGGTTCAATGAAAAGTAGGAAAATATTTAAAGTAGATGAGGTAAATAGAAAGTGGAAAATACGCATATTTTTATGATCAACTCTCTTAGTATATCTTGTGGATTCAAATATAAGGAAAAATGATATGATGGGGATTAGAGAGAGAGAGAGAGAGAGAGAGAGAGAGAGAGAGAGAGAGAGAGAGAGAGAGAGAGAGAGATCCTACTTCTTATCAAAAATTATTATAATATCCACAATGTTGCCGAGCAAATTATTTCAAAATAGTTGAGATCTGAAAATTAAAGTTTCATATAATCCTAGAATCGATATCTTATGGCTTTGGTATCTGTAACGATTTGCATGGTGCTTTTAACCATTTAATATATAATTAAAAACCAAAAGAAATTAATACATAATATAACTTCTATAAATTTAACAGAAGGACAAGACTATATCTGGATCAACCATTAGTGAATTAGAAATAACTCAATTTTTTTAACTATGCATGTTTCAATTGACTTGACTTGTGTATCAATATTATGGAAAAATCATCGATAACACTGCTTTATAAAATAATGGGGGATATTTAACCAGGCTTTACTTCCTGAACTAAAAAGAATAATATTTCACAATGAGTAATGTGCATTATTTCTTTTCTATAATGATACATTAACATAATTTATATCCAACGCATGAAAAATAGTGATTATAATGTCTCATTAAACAACAATCTGGCCCCGGGATCATGAAGCATCTTAAGCTAAAATCAAAATCTTTCTGTTGTACAAATATAGATATTGTAGAAGTCAAAACAGGCCAAAATCAAACTATTTTACAATCATTTTTGATGTTTTTAAAAAAGTCTTGTCATTTCCAAAATTTGTCATTTATTCAATGAATAATAAAGATGTTACAAAAATTGATAATCTTATAAAAGTTTAAGTTTTTTTTCATTATCCTAGAGACTGGACTTAACAAAATATTACTACAACCTTGGACATTTGATTCAGCAATGTTACAGGTCAGGAGAATAAATATATAAAAGACATAAAAGAGAGATTGCCGTATAATCCAGATTATATGCTCACTGATCTAAATATTTTTTTGCTCACTGACTTCTAAACAGTATTGTACAATAAAATTGTATGTTAACTTAATTTGAGCATCTGAAAAAAGGACAAGAAACGCAGTTCTTTATTTTCTCGAAAATTCCATAACCGATCTAAATGATTTTTTGCTCACTGAGTTTTAAACAGTATTGTACAATAAAACTGTATGTTATCTTAACTTTAGGATCTGAAAAAAAGGACAAGAAACGCAGTTCTTCATTTTTTCGAAAATTCCATGACTGATCTAAATAATTTTTTGCTCACTGAGTTTTAAACAGTATTGTACAATAAAACTGTATGTAAACTTAATTTTAGGATCTGAAAAAAGGACAAAAAAAACAGTTCTTCATTTTCTCGAAAATTCCATAATTTTTTTCCATGATACCGTGTATAACCGATACGCCCTTAGAAGGTACCGTCTGATTTCTCAGAATAATATACAGGTGGTACATGTATCGACAGACCTAACATATTCATGAATAAATAAAACTCACACCAAAAGAGTCAGTAAAGTCGTGAAAAGTGACCAATGTTCGAAAAGTCATTACTCAAATACTCTGTACAGTAGTATGCTTATTTCTGTCTACTTACTCTTTTCACGACGTCATTAAATAATAAATAATGGAAATAATATTCAGGAGATGTAAATATACAAATAAAGTATACAGTATTGTTTTTAAATTGATGTCAACACAAAAACTGCTGAAAAGCTCAGGATTAAATCTAACCGCTTTAGTGTTGTTTCAGATTTGCTTTGTTAGTACAACACTGAAGAGGTTAATGATGTAAACAAATGCAGAATAATAAAAAAACTGCAAAATAAGAATTACTGTAATTCCGAAGGTTTTAGAAAACGTGTTTTCGAGATTTATATTATGAAACTAAATAAGCTATAATAGAAATTAGTATCTGATCCGCTCCAAAATAAAGTTTTATTTCGACTACAAGGTATAATGTACTTAATTGTATCTTGTACCCTTCAGTAATTATGGATCTATTGACACATACCCCCGAGTGAAGCCCCTCAATTTCATCTTATATAAATGAACATGTACCTAGGATATCAGGTAGAAAAAAATCGTGGTTGACAGACCGTTTCTATAGCTTACGCAACTGACCTTCACCCAAGGAATACCTTTATAAGTAATTTTTAGGGAAATTCCCTAAATTAAAGTCTGTTAGATATAGATGAGTAAACTATACCGACACACAACATTGTATAAAACCTATTCGATTTGTTAACAAACTATGAAATTGGTGACAATATAATTATTTAAAAAAATATATGCATTGAATATTGTGAGGAGTTTTAAAATCATTTTATCAATTTACACTTTCTATGTTGAAAGACTTAAATAAACGTTTTTGAATAATCAGATTACCTGGTGGATCCCGAAATACCTACGTTAAAAATCACTGACCTAGCATTGAAGGACTTTTGTACTACTGCAGTACAACTTATCCTCCCATAGTGTTCATGTCCTTGCAGGCCAATGAGATTTCCTATAGTGCTTTGTTATAAAATTCTTAAAATGGTTATTGGATCAATTCATTTACTTATTTGTTTACTCTTTCTCTTTTATTAATTTTTGATACTGTATACATGGAAACTTTCGCCCCAGTTTTATTTCCCCCTTATCAAAAGTGAATGAATTTAAAACGGGACGAATTCAAAGAAAGTAGCATAAATTCTTAAACAGAACTTTGACTGGGCGACTTTAAAACGGGAAGAAACTGTCAGCAAGTGTAAGAGGACGAAAATAATGCTGTATACAGTAATGTCCTTTGATACCGGTTGATATTGAATTTTAGTTATGTAAAATGTGTTACTATTAATTCAATCTATTTACTGGTAAATTTATCAATAGCAAGCGTTCGACACAACAAAATACCCGTTTATATGTACACATGGAAGATATTTTAATTTATGGGACATTGTTGAATTAAATTTTATCTGAATGGTCGTCGGTACATAAACACTCTGCGTAGTTTATTGTTACGGACTCAACTCTGAAAAATATGTGTCCCACGAGGGAAGAAATCTAATTTTAGCTTCAATTTCAAAAACGTGATGTTTTTATGGAAAATCCAGAAAGTTCTTAACATTTGGGATCACCAATTTTCCCCATGAATTAAGGCAATTACTATTTTTTACACAGAGAAAAAAAAACAGTTTATTATTAGAGAAAATAACCTTTAAAGTTGTGGTTCGCAGTTTCTTTATTCCGTAATAATTCTTCATTTCAATGCATACATGCAACTCGATGTAAAAAGAATTAATATTTTCCCAGCTTGAGGAAATTTCTCCCTGCACTTTTCGTTTTCATATCAAAAAGTTTTTATTTAATTCGACTTTTATGAACTTTTATTTGTTCATATTTTTGAAAATAAATTTTAAACTTGTCACTCTCAAACAGATATATTTTGGCATTGAATATATTACGACCATATTTTGTACCTAATAAATGAATGGTCCTAAATGATTATTCATGATAACATTTTAAAGATGTTATAAAAACGTATGCACCAAAAGAATTTATAAAATATTTATTATTCTCCATGTAATTGCACCTAAAAATGAAGATACATGTCTACGCGCAGAGCATGTTTTACTAATAAAATTGTAAGAAGGAGTGTTAATTTCATACAAATCTCTTGGTGAAAATAGAGGCATAAATTCTCTTTTTATTACAACATGAAACAAAATGAATCATTTACCATATTTGCATTTTTCAATATATTGAAAATACTTTTATTAGGTTATTTTATAGAAATATTTTGAAATCTTTATCTCTGAAGTTCACAACATGGAAATTTCATGAAGTCATATTTGAATTCAGATAGAGACCTTAAACCCTGGATGAAACCTTACATAATTGCTTGATGACTCAAAGCGATTCAGTTCTATTATCAAAACCCCTGAGACTTGTTTGTCAAGTGTATTTTAGTATTCACAAGGCTTAAATGAACATTATAGCAGAAAATAAGGATTATTACACTTCTCGTGGCGTACAGGGCATAAGATTTGCCCCCCCCCCTTCCCCCCGAACTTTAGCATAAAATGTTTCACTAAACAAAATAGAAGTCCTAATCAACAACAGTAATCAACACTTCGAACGAAAATGTGATCAATTTTTTATAGAAAAAAAAACTTTCGCCACAAAAATTAGTTCCTCATTTTATGCATTTTATATCGAAATAATGGTGGGTTTTAAAATCAGAAAAGTTAAAACAAGATTGTGAGAATTTTTTACTTAGAGTATGCTGCATTTCAAAATTATTGATTTATGAAAAAAAATTCTGCTTAGAAGCTAAGGATCTAAACTTTTAAACTGAAAAAAAAAATACTTTTTAAAATTAATATGTGTCAATTTGACATCCCCATGACTTTTGTAATAAAGAAGAAATTGTATGCACCTCTCAAAAGCCATATTAACATTATTATGCACTAAAACAGCTTATATTGGAATGTTGGGAATTCTAAAGTAGTAACCTTTTTTTATTTTCTACTTTCATTTAAATCTCCCAGTCCAACCAGGTTTTCTTAAGTGTTATATTGATAGAAATGGACACTTTACTGACAATATCAATCTTGGTGTCGCTTATATATGGAGAATATCTGCTACGTAAGTACTTTCTCTAAAAAAAATTAATTAAAACGTTATTTGTTTCATCCTTGTTTACATTACCTCATTAATTTCTGGGAAAAATAATGAACACCAATTTTATAAAGTATTATCTTTCGTAAAGTAAATTTCAAAAATGTAATTGAGTTCATGACATATGACTACCGGCTACTGACTGATTTATAAAATGGAATAATTCACTTTGGGACCATGGTACTTTACTAATCCAATAAATTATAACTGACCAGAAATAATAAAGGTCTATCAAAATTTTATTTTTATACTCTTTTAGAAACGTGCCCTAATTGTAGAAATGAAGAATGTGATACAAATGGTCAGTGTCTGAATGGATGCGAAGGTTCCAGATGGGGAAATTACTGCCAGTTATCCTGTGGAAGTTATTGTGGCGCATGCAATCAAACTTCCGGTGTATGTTTCGGTTGTTCGACAGGTTATTGGGGTTCTAATTGTTTAAAACATTGTCCTGATGTTTGTCCATCCAAAAGATGTTCCCAGTCTAATGGATCCTGTCTTTATTGTTACAGAGGTCGATGGGGAAAAAGCTGCGAAAACATATGTTCCGAATTTTGTCACCACTTGTCCTGTGAGTATCATACAGGCAGGTGTTTAAATGGGTGTGAGCGAGGACGCTACGGAGATACCTGTCACCTTTGGTGTAATCCAGGTTGCTCTGGTGATTTGTGTCTGCAAAATGGATCATGCGTCAGCGGCTGCAAAGAACAATTTTATGGCCATAATTGTGAAAAAAGATGCAGTTCAAATTGTCTGCCGCCATATTGCAATAAACATACTGGTATATGTTCTGCCTGCCGAACTGGATTTTATGGTCAATTTTGCACAAACATTTGCAGCCGTAATTGTGTTAACAAAACCTGCAGTTTAAAAGAGGGCTTTTGTACTCACGGTTGTGAGAATGAGTGGACAGGAAATCAATGTGACGGTAAGTGTGAGTACATATATAAAGTCGATAATTTAGATTCTGTCGTTTTTTATTCTGTATAGTAATGAAACAAAAACGATATAGCTAAAATACTTATAATAAATATCTATGGGAGTTAGTAAACTGTTAACCAATATCGGAACCATTCTATTTCTAATCAGCAGAAATTTGTTTTAAATGGATGGATTTGATAAACATTGTTTTCCGCACCTTCGAGACTTTGTCATTCATATAGAGATAACACCATAAATTGACAAAGGCTTTCAATTTTGCGGAACTTAGGGTTATTGTTTAACATTTCAACGCTTACTTTGACACGGGACTTCAGTTTTTAAGGTGGATCTTATCCATATTTCAAAATAGCCACATTATTTCGGTATTAAAAAAACTCCTCTTTTGACAAAAACAATATTAACAACAAATGGTTTGAAAACTCCGAAAAACTTTTGAAATCAACATAATTACAAGTAATTCTATCTGTAGAAATTAATGTAATCGCTGTGCTTGGATATTAGATTTTTAGTTAGTTTTCTTATTGTGATTCATGAATATACTATGTCACACGACATCAAAATGCATCACCTGGATATATTGGTGTTTAATAACTGTGATATTTTAGATATAATTTCTTGTTTATTCTGTATGAATGCTGTGTTACCGGTATATGTAATACCATTTTGCAGTCGAAAAATAGCTCTTAATCTGAGCTTATAAGTAAATGTCAATTACCGTTAGTAAATCTTGTTAATGACCCAATTCTTAATACATTGTAATTATCATTTGATCTCTTTTCTTTAGTGGAATGAAGATTAAAACATTATCATATTGAGTTAAATCAATGTGAACAGCATGTTACTAGCGTTTACTTTATTTATTCGAGTAAATGAATAAATCTGTTTTTGAAAAATATACACAGGCAAATTAAATTAACTTTGTTTTCAGTGACCAGTGAAGTTGTCCCATCCACGATTAACGCTGCTTTAGTAATAAGCATCTGTCTTGGATTATTGTTGACGATTTTCATCCTGATACTCATTATTAAAAGATATCAAAGGTAAGGCTTATTCAATAAAATCAAGGAATCGATTACAAAAAAAATCCAGAACCAGAGCAATCAACCAAGCTTTGTCTTTTGTGTCAATCAATTTTGACAATTTGACTCCAAATTAATCTAATTACCACAGTAAGAGTAATCCTTAGATAAATTTAAAGTTGTACATTTAATTAACAAACATATTATTTATAGCTGAAGTCACTACTTTTTCATATTGTTCTGCATAAGTCGGTAAAATGTAAGAGATATCTATCTGGTTTACCAAATTAAAGAGAGCAATGAAAAGAATACCGACATGATACTCATCATATTCATTGTATATGATACAGAAGATTTATTTTCCATTTTAAAGGAAATGTTTGCCAAGATTCTGTTGCCCAACAACTGCGTCAAATCCTTACACACAAGACGTTTGTGAAACCTGTCGTGACAAGAACATATCTACAATTTCTAACGCTGAAGGTCCAGATAGACCACAGAGCTTTGCTTCCAGCAGCAGCAGCTACGCCAACGCATCACCTGTAGGCTATAATGTATCATATCAGACGGAGGACGATCAGAATTATGATACGTTGACCGAAGGACCGTAGCAAAACATAACTGACAAAATTCTTCTTAGTTGAGGCAGTGATTATGAAATATATAATGCCTTTCAGAATGAAAGTGATTAATATGTCGATAGGTTCTTTACAATGAGTACTTTTGAACATGCATATGATCACATTTATAATAAATAACACGTATCCTACCAATCTTACTAAATAATCTTAAACGTGATACTCAAACGTATACATGTTTTTTAGAATCTATATTGATTTTTGAATATTTGTAAGTAATCATTTATTATAGTGACATTGTGCATTTTAGACATTTCATTATACATTGAAACAAAGTACAACAAACTGAATCTGCACCCGGCCCATTGGACCTATAAATCACTTTTTTCATTTAAATACATATATATAAATTTACACATGCAGAAGATTCTTTCTATGGTTAAATACTGTATGTACAAATTTTGCTAAGTTTATCTTGTAATTTTGATTTAGAACTTTGAACAAATAATCATTATCATTACTATTTGGGTTTTGTACACGCTATCAAAATATTTTTTCCTAACATTATTATACAATGACAGTCTAATAAGAAATGTTTTTCGTCTTATGAAAACACACGTTCTTTCACTTAAGGGTTCATTTATATCGAATAAATACACTGAACTGTGCCAAGGCTATCGTTCGTTTTTTGAAATATTAGATACAACATATGGTTCGGTTTCACAATTAACTTTGAAGGAAATATATGTCCTTAATTTTGGTGATGATTGTATTTTCATTTTCCATTCATTTTCAGCATATTTACATGTGTTCGGTATTTACTATTTGCTGGTTTTGAAAGAGACTGCTACTGTTGAGACTATCAAAAATAAATTTGTGAACACCACACACCCTGCATATTATAATCCCAAATGAAAACTTTTTTCGTTAATGTTTTTTCCAACTGAAGAATTCGGTTCCAAAGGCGAAATATATTCAGCCAACGTCGCTGTGTTAGCCATCCAACTTCGCTGTTAAGGGCAAATAAAGGGGTAAATGAACCCCAGAAAATAACGGATTGCACGATTGCTTTGTTTTACTCGATGCATGTCCTTTCGGTGCTTTAAAAAATCTTTGATAGGAAGCCAGTATTTTTAACCCCCCCCCCCCCCCAAAAAAAAAATGTTGTTGTTGGATTTTCCATAAATCATACTAAAGATAAAATTTGAATAAATTTATGGAACAATTCTTAAGGAATTTACTACGATAAACTTATACATTAAAAATAAAGAATTTTTATGTTCACAATGCAATTCAGATAAGATTTAACTTCAATGGAGCGTCTGCCTGGTATTTGTGATTTATAAGCATACATATTTATGATAAACCTGTTCTACAGGTAAAACATGCATTTACTCAGAAAGAAGGGGCTTAATGCACTTAAGGGATCTATTATCGCAATTTCTTTCTCAACCAGTTTAGAAACTTTTTTTGCTTAAATTATGACTTATTATTTTCTTTCCAGATACTTAAAAATTCGAAAAATAAATATTATATCCGCAATGCAATTCAAGAACTAATTGACTAGAAATAACACATGAATATCTGTACATATGTTTTCATTCATTTTGTATTTTAATCATTTTTGATAATGTGATAAACTTTTCATCTGAGGAAATCTACAGAGTTTGAAAGTTTTTTGTGCCAGAAAGTATGGTTTGGAATCAGCCATCACAATGATAGATTCGGTAGTTTAACATGATAGGTCGACATTTGAAACCTCTCGAGTTACTTGTAAGAAGAAATGTTTCATTTAAACAAAATTATATAGAAAAAAAGAGCAATAAAATTGAGTGCAAAAGATTTAAACCAGAAACGTCAAAGTATCAAAAATCAGCGCGAAGGAGATAATCGTTCATTTCAAAATAAATTTCTAAAATTGATCACATTGTTTTGAAAATATATTGTTTCATGTTTAAGACGTTAATACATTGGAAAAGTGTCATAAGTAATATTCCAAAGCATACTAAGAAGGGCAAAGACCCCCCCCCCTTCCTCATCTAGCTCCTCATTTCTTTTTAAGCTTGTATGATAAAGAGAAAGATTGAAAAATATAATTTTTTATGTTATAAATTTCTTACATCTAAATACTAGTATATAAAACAAAGAAGCAAATTTAATTTAAATATTTGATTTATTCAAAATCAAGAAGAGATTTCCTTCTAAATAAATTCTTTTTCAAAAATATATTCCAATATTGCTTGCACATACAATTAAGGATTTATAAATGTGTTTCTTCTCTTTTAAGTTAACTTAGATATGTTTTACATTATATCTTTCATATGAACAATGAAATGATATTGATTATTTTTCCATGGTGGGGATTAAATGTAATTCAAACGTAAGGAAAATATCAAGTTGTCACAGAAATATTAACCGAGTAAGAAATAAACAGTATCATATGTTGTCCATTCGTCAGCCTTGTACCATTATCAATTGTTAAACGGTGCTTTCATTTTATCTAGTATGTAAATTGCAAGTACATGTAAGTATGTCAGATATTAAAAAAATATCAATTGAAATCTTTAGAAAATAACAAATATGAATTAAAAAATTTTGTTAAACAAACCAACATTAAAAAATTCTTATTGTTAAATATATATATTGTTTTTACTATTTTTACATTAACATATACCTTTAAGAACGTTGCATTCGAATTTAGAATGGTCATCCGCGTGGTGCAATGGTTAGAGTGTGTACTTTAGAGTCGCGAAGTTACGTAGCAGTTTTGAATCCCATTTTGGAATATGGAGACCGGTCCTTCAGATGAGACCTATAAACCGGGGTCCCGTGTCGCAGTAGGTACTGGAACGAAAAAGATCAGTCACTACTTTATGTCCCCGATTGCCGAGCATAGGACAAAATTTGTAGCTCTTCACTGGCAAGTCGTGATGTCTTCATATGAGTGAAAATTTTTCAAGAGGAATGTTAGCATACACATCAATCAAATCTATAATGAACTTATTTCGTATCTAAAATTTTCAACTAAAATAGAATCTGTGAAAGTACGTTATTGAAAGATGAAAATATTTTACCTCTAAAATTTTCTTTCTATTTTGTGACTTATGGTAATTTAATACTGCATTATTTATAAAAGACTAAAAAAACCCACAGTTTCAGTTCATATTCCGAACGAATATTTCCATGCATATTTAATCACAAAATCCCAAGTCTATCGCGGCACATTCATTATAGCAGCGTAATGGTGCAGTACTTCATATTCCACGTTTTCAGAAAACCAATTCTTTGATGACCCAGCTCTTTGTGGAAATCTCGATATCTGAGCTATCTGCCACTGAGAATGGTGAGGTTGAACTTCGCCTATAACTCCATCAATACTCATATCATTTGGCTGTTTAAATGTATTCATCGATGCAGACTCTAAATACAATATAAAGAGAAAAAAATTATTTAGAATATTATTACAGGATGGTTCTGTTTAAGTAATTAAAATTTGTCCATCTTAATAAGGAGATAGCATTTAAGATTTTATATGGAAATTATTAAATGAGAGAAAGCAATTCAAAATAGTAAAAGTTAGATATTTCAAAGAAAAGTATCCATTGTAAAGTAAAATCTTTGCATTTAGAATCTTTTTGCCACAGTAAAAACCTGGTTCTTTCCCATTATCCTTGCGTCTACGAAACATCATCAGGGATATAAAACATGTTACAAGTATCGCACCCCCAAGTCCTAGAGCTAATACGGTCCCTGGGCTCAGCACGCTTATTTCAAGATGTCCCTTTTCTGTAAATCAAGAAATTCCGCCGTAAAAATATTAAGACTTATGGTAACTATAAAGATGTGCGTATACCGTATAGCAGGTTTTCTTGGCGTTTTGTCCGCGCAAAGGTAATTATAATTTTGGCGTAATTTATCTTAGCGGACGCAGGGTTTCAGCCCCTGCAGATGAACACTAAAAGGAGTACCGACTATTTTAACGAGTAACATTTTAGCGGACTATCATCAAAACGCCAAAATAAAACAAAATTAGCACCCAGCTAAAATTACCCGCTATACTGTATTTGTAATGAAATATTTATTTAACCTCTCTCTTGAATAGATATTGAAACTATCATGGAATCCCTGACAAAAAGTGTATAGTTGCCCAAAGAACTTTCATCAAAGACAGGAATAACGCTTCTGATCCAGTAGAAATCGGTTTCATTTCGCCGCAGAATAAAAACATTAATTTCATTTCTCCGAGCATTGCCATCCCATTTAATATCATTTTCCTTCAGAGTCTTCTCAAGATTAATCTTTGATATTACAGGAACATTTACTTCGACAGTTTTGTTTTTCCCTGTGGCTGTTGAATATAGTTTATTAAATTCCATTTCGGTATCCAATCGAACCGCACCTAATCATGATAAATTGTAATGAAAAAGAAGGTTAATTTCACTTAAATGCAATTTTAATGTTATAATTAATAGTACCTATGATGACAATTTCTTTTATTACTTTATTATTATTTGAGAGAGAAAGAGATATAAACACAGAAGGAAAATAAAACACACACACAGCGAGAGAGAGAGAGTTGAATGATTCAACCATGTTACTGTTAGAATTACAATATGTTGATTTTTTTTTACTTTTCAGTTCCTTATAAATATAAGCAGTATGTTTCCAATATCAATAAAAAGAATATTCGGAAAAAGGAGGCAAAATTCGATGTTGCCTTCCTTTACATAGATTTTAAAAACCTATTTAATTAGGTTCATCATACATTTTTTAAAAAATACTTACAATCAATTTTAAGTTGAATTTGGTTTAATTTTTCTCCGTAGTCAATATTTCTCCCAATGCAAACATAAATTTCCGAATCGTTGCACTCCACGCCATTCATGAATGTGTAGTGATATAAATGTTCAAACATATTACCAGCCATTTTAACTCCAGTTTTAGATCTCTTTTTGATAACAACATTTGGAGGTGGATATCCATCCACTTCGCAGACTACTGTTACGTTATCGCCTTCTCTTGTATTGATTTGTGAATCATTTTGTATATTTCCATTCACGATTGTATAAATATTTGGCTCTGAAACATCTGTAAAACATATTTTGTAATTTAATCTAAATACCCTCAAATCAGAAGTACTAGACAGGGTTTTATGTCATTGATCAAAACATACCAATGTTGTTAAGAATTTATCATATACTAATATGAAAAATGTTATGATGTTTTATAGATCACATGAATGCTTAAATTTCATTAATAAGTAAACGTTTAACCAATTAGTATTTTAAAACATGGATGAAAAAAAAAATATATCATACAAGCAACGTTTATATTTATTTCTCTCTTTGAGGTGATAAATCCGTCAGTGTTGCTAACATTTCCGGTTGCGATACAACGATATCTACTTATATCATTTCTGCCTACAAAACGCTGTGGTAACACGTGGCATTTCTGGACACTAGTTACGTGTCCTGTGGCATTAATGCTTTCCCATCTATATTCACAAGGAGGGTTGCAGTCTGCAGAACAATTAATAGGTCCTAAAGTGTCGTTTTCTCGGATTGTAATAGTAGTATTTATTTTCGGAGAAAACTCCACCTTTTCTGGTCCATCTAATGAAATTTAAAAAAAATTTGTGATGGTTAAAAAATTCAATTAATTGCTAATTAGAATATAACTTTCTTAATGCAACCATTAAGGAACGTTTCTATAAAAAAGGGAAATAATTACATTGTATTTCTGGTTTGATATCAACATAAGCTGTTCTGCTGCCTTTAGTGTTATTATATTGTCCAGTTGCAACACAGCGAAAGGTCAACTTCTTGTTCTTGTTAACTACTTGTATTGGCAGCATGGATCCATTTGCGATGATATGGGATCTTTGGCCATCAGGGTGAATCGTCATCCAATAGAAAACGCATGGAGGATTGCACTCAGAAGTACAGTTTAAAGGACCAAGTAAGCCCCTGTCTTGTAACTGGATTGGTTCATCCAAATATGGAATCAATTTCACAATATCAGGGCCATCTTTAGAGAAACATAAAGCAACATAAGCCTCTAACTTACATAACATTGTTTCTTCTTCTAATAAATAAATACATTCGTTTAATTTTTAACGCGGATTTTTTTTTCATGAAGAGTTGATGAAAAATTTAATAAAAATAAAATTATTTAAAATGAAACCCAAAAATGATATTTTTCAAAATAAAAAACAATATCTGAAAACAATTTATTGAACTATGGGATAACATATATACGTTTTAATAAAATTTTGACTGAACAGGGTTAAACTTAAATTACTCACAGAAGGCTTCTACTTGCGTTACGTCGCTTTCGGATATTAAACGTTCCTGTGCGCGACATGTGAATTTGTCGTACACATGGCTCCTCCTTACTTGGAACTCCAGTGTTTGATTGAAGGCAATAGGAATTTTTGTTTTGTTTACAAACCATGTATATTTCATGGCGGGAATTTTCTTGAAGAAATTTGGTGTAGATGTAGACTGACTGCTACAGGTTAACGTTGTCTTTTGATTAACTGGGACATAAACATTGCCAGTGATAACTGGTTTTATTGGCCTCCCTATAAGAAAGAATATCAATGCTTATACTATTCCAGTCTTTTATTCCTTTTCTATGATTGAAATTGTAAGAATTTGTTCATGTGGAATCTCTACATCGTACTTTTCCTAGCAAATCATAATGTTTGGAACGTGATGACTACAGTTTTTCAATCGTCAATTTTGGCAGCAATATACCATAATTAACCGCATATGAGGTTTAAGTTTTTCAATCAGTTGAAAATGCAGGATTTGCTCTTTGTATCAACAACATCTAAAACGAGACACATTTAAGTTATTGCCAAAAATTGATAAAACTAAATATCAAAAGTCTTGTTTAAAGGCATCTTTTGTAAGTTCGGTAATCGTTACAATGATGTCGGAACAATCTCTACTTAGGTCAGATGCTGACTGACATTTTAAATAATATTTTGTTAGTACGTTATTTTCACATTAAATTGTCGACGTATTTTTCTTTTTTCCTGACTAGATTAATTGCATACACTTTTTTGAAATTTTGAAAATGGGATTTTTAACTTGAAAAAGGCGTTAATGGTAATCTAACAACCAAGCTATATGATAAACGTGATGACTTTAACTTTTCTATCGTCAACTTCCCTTGCTTATGCAGCAACATACCCTCTCACCTGCACACGGAGTCTATATATCTCAGTTGATTCGATACGCAAGAGCATGCTCTACGTATTAACAATTTCTAAAACGAAGTAAATTATTAACAAGCAAGTTGATGAAACAAGAATATCAACAGTCTCGTTTAAAGTCATCATTTCGTAAATTTTATGGTCGCTACAATGACCTTGTCAGCAAATACAATTTACCATTAAGGCAAATGCTGACTGATGTTTTTCATAATAATTGTTAGTCTATTTTTATACAATGCATTGACGACGGATTTTTCCATTATTTCCCGATCATGACAAGGAGCACACGGAGGGTGTGACCGGTTAGCAGGGGATGCTCACTCCTCCGTGGCACCTGATCTCACCTCTGATGTTTCGGACGTCCGTGTTTGCTCCGCTCCTATTTTGTATTGTTTTATCGACTTTGATATTAAAACTGATCGTTATCTCCATATCCTTCTTCTTAAATCAAATTTTGATCTTCAATTTTGCTTGCTTGTTTATATCATCAATTGAACTTGTTCTGCAAGTATGAAAATAAGGTAAGACAATCCGGTTCTTTAAAAAGAAGGATATGGAGATAATTATCTTTAACTGTCATGACTGTATCAGGAAAAACGGAAAAAATCCGCTCATATACAGTGTTTTAAAACAAATTCCTATTTTAAAAAAGGCAACGTGGTAGCACATACATTATTTTAAAACAAATTCCTATTAAAAAAGGCAACGTTGTAGCAATCTCACTGGCTTAACTTTTAAGGAAAACGGTTTCTTGATAAACTAGTACCCGCATTTATAACTAAAAATTCATCTCAAGTCTTTAAAATTAATTAAAAGGTATAATACATTATAAATAAAACTACTAGTATCTGAATGGTGTGATTCTAATATAATTATTTTCTTATTGTACTGCTTTCCATGTAACTTTTATTCAATGAAATTATAAAGACACGGATTACAGCAAGTTAACCACTTTATTGTCACAATAACAGTACACATAGGAGCGCGGATCCTATAATAGGCGCAAGTGTGTCCCTGTTTACAAGAGGTGACGAGATCTAAGGGTGATCGATCGTTGTTTGATCGTTTGATTGTTTGATTGGTAAAAAGTTAAAATAAACAAATACAAATATACAAATACATGCTATAAACAAACATACTACAAACTTACTACAAAGACAAATTGTTTGAATGAACTACATCAAATTACATTGCTGACAAATTACATTACACAGTTTAACTCGCTAAAAGTACACATGAACTTTTACAAAGGTATTTAATGTCGCTTAACATTAGCCTTAAAACGGCAACTTTACAACAGTAAATAGATAACTTGTAAATATGGAACGCCATCACTGCCTTATAGCAGAACACTACAATTGCATTGTGTCAACTTTCCATTACATTATGTCAACACATTGTGACATTTACTTACAGTACTATTGCGTTATGACAATTTTCCATTACATTATGTCAACTCTTTATGACATTTACAAACGCTACTATTGCGTTTTGTCAACTTTCCATTACATTATGTCAACTCTTTATGACATTTACACACACTACTATTGCGTTATGTCAACTTTACATTACATTTTGTCAACTCTTTATGACATTTAATACACACTACTATTGCGTTATGTCAACTTTCCATTACATTATGTTAAGTCTTTATTGCATTAACTCGCACTTCAATTACATTGCGCCAATCTTCCATTGCATTATATCAGCTCTTTATGACATTAAGTCAAAACAATTTTGCGTGGTGTAAAGATGTTATTATATAATTTAAACTCATTATTACATTATGTGCACTCTCTACTATTTGGTCTAAGTAGTTCATTACATGATGTGAATTTATCTTTAATTCTATAATATCAAGTCGCTATAATACGATGTCAAAAATTCATATATTATGTGAAAAAAATTGTCACATGTTGCCAATTCTTTACAATATTGTGTCATCAATATGCTACATGACACCGGGAATTTATTACATGATGTCAATTTTCCCTTACTTTTTGACAAATCATTATTATGTTATGCCATTGTATCTCTACATTGTGTCTAAAATGCTTAGCCTCTTGTCAGTATATCTTAGAATATTTCAACTCTTTATTATGTGACGTAAGGTTTATGTTATGCCTAAAAGTTCGTTTTGTGTTTTCAATATTACATGCACATATGTTAAACTTGCAAATGATTTAAATTAAACGTATCAAATATCAAATTATACACAAGACTTAATTCATCCTTAATTAAATATCAGGTTAAATTAAAAATAGGATCATGTTCCCATGGAATCTTTATTGACGATTTGAAAAGTCCGAAACTTCTGATCTAACTACAAAACACTGTCCTAAGCTTTTTATCAGTCTTTAACCCTCCTTAAAAAAAAGTGTAAATACATCGTATTTCATACGTGCACTGGTGGGTCGATGGGGAAAGGGAGGATCCCGCCCTCCCATCTTTAGTGACCAAAATATATGCATGAAATTAATCAATTGATTTTACTTTGTAGGACATTGCATTAGTTTTACATAAAGTATAACTGAAATAAGTTGAAACTTTTTATTAAAAAAATCTAAAGCCTGAGAGCTTTCGGGCTTTCACCCCCTGGTCCCCAACTTAGACACCATATCGTCCCCCTATAGCTACTCTTTTCAAGAACCGAAGATCGCAACTGATATGAGCCCGTGTTAATTTAAGTGAAAACGTAGATTCTGGTCCTGGAATGGTTGAAAAATTACTAATTCCAGTGGACGTTGCATCGTTTTTGAAAGCTGGGGGAGGTTTGTCAGCCAGAAAAAAATAACGTACAAGAAAAAGCGAAAAAAAAAAAATCCAAACTCGAAAATCCTATTTCGGGTGAAAGGAAGGGGGGGGGGGTCCAACTTCGATCAATTCTTTAAAAAATTCCAAATATACTACATTACCCTTATACTTCAGCAAAAAGTGGGACTGAATTTCAATGAACATTTTCTATGATAAAGTTATGTCGGAAAAAAGAGGAAGTCAGACCCCTCCCCCCCTCATATAATGTGTCTGTAATTCGTCCTAATTAATCAGGACCCCCCCCCCCTTCCCAGTCCTGAAAACACGGTTATCAACTTTGACATAATGTAAATGTATTTTACAGCGCGTAATGAACATTTGTAATCAACATGATAAAGAATTAACACAATGTAAAGATAGTTTTAAATCATATAAGAAAGAGTTAACATATTCTTATTAAATATCCACATAAAGGAATGGAGTTTTGACATAACGTAATAAAGTGTTGATATAATATGGAACGCCGTGACTGTCTCCATAATATATGTTCACATTATGTTATAAACCTTTTTACATCACGTAATAAAGCACTGACATAAAGGTAAGATGTATTCACCTCACATTGTGATGACCTCGGCATAAAATAAAGATAAATTAACATCACGTATTAATGCTTTGTTATAATAGAAATATACACTCACAAAAGGGAATGGACTTTGACTAAATGTAATGATAAATTTAATCATAGAACACATGTAAAACGCAATTAACTTGACGTAATGCAATTTTGACCTCACATATTAAAGAAATGAAATAATATAAAGAAACATTCATATCACGTAATTAAGTTTTAACACAATGTAAACATATTTTCACTTCACATAATGAACTTTGGTCTTCAAGTTATAAAGTGCCGACATAATGGAAGAATGTGTTTACTTCATGTAATGCAGCATTGACATGATGTAAAGATATTTTTACATCACCAGATAAAAAAATGATATAAAGTAAAGATATGTTCACATCACGTAATGATAGATTGAAATAATGAATGAATACACTGTAAAAAATAAGTGTTTAAGAAATAAACACCAAATTGCAACAGATAATAAACACTTCAACACGTTTAAGATTTAAACACCCCGTGAAGTGTTTAAGAAATAAACACATTAGAATGTTTAAATTCTAAACACATGAGGTTTAATATTTAAATACTTCTTTTCCGTTCTGTTTAAATATTAAACACTTCAAAAACACAAAATGTTTAAATATTAAACACTGAATTAATACATAGAGTTTACTAGATAAACACCGTGAATGTTTAATATGTAAACATATCGTGTTTAATTAATAAACATGTTCAACCTAAACATCTAAACACGTAAACATGTTTATTCGATGCAACAGATAATAATCACCTTAAACATGTTTATACATCAATTTTTAAACACTTCAACATGTTTATTTTACCAAATAAATAAACACTTAAACGTGTTTATAAGTTTTCAACATTTTATTTGAAACAAACATAAAACAGTACAAAACAAATAATTTGGTTGATAATAAACATGTTGTACATAAAGTTTTTTTAAATTGATAAATGATTTAATGTTGGATTTGGGGGTTCAAACTTAATAAACAATTATAACATTAAACAACACATTCATTTACAAATAGATACATTTCAACTTAAGTTAAAAAAAAATAGAATTATCAAAACAAACTAGCACGAACATGTAAAACCTGCATGTGTAAACTAAAACCCAATAAACTGATTTCGGGAAGGGGTGTCTTTGAAATATAAAATAAAATACATTATCGATTAATAAAATGAAATGTTTTTCATCAGTAAAATTTTAAAAAGGTCTAGATCGTCCTTTGCATCTTTTTTTTTAATAATAAAAGATCAAATCCATGAATATGATGCAAAGAGACTGAAAATGTTATTTGTTGTCTGGGTACGGGATGTACATGTATATACAAGTATTACACTCCGTCTGATAAATCCAGTTGTAAAGTTTACTTTCATAATTATTCAAAGTTTTATGATCAAATGAAGAAATTTTCCAGTTTTGAACTGTAAAGGACTAATTCATTAAATATTCTCGATACTATACATGGGCTGCCGGGGTATCACTCACTCAATTCCATATAATATTCTAAGCGAGTTAAACAGTCTAGCTCCTCTGGTTGTGGGTAAAATTCAGGTTCTCGATCTACAACGGATGATGATCTCCAGTTTTCTATTCTCCAAAATTGTATCCACACTAAGTAGTTCTACTTCCTTCTTCTCTTCAGAAATATCCTGAAAAATAGATAGATGAAAAAATATTCACTATGTAAATGCAGATAATTATATGCAAAAGAATACATTGAGATCGAAAACTAAAATGATTTGTTACACTTCACGCCAATTTTAATTATATAATACATTCTGAGACAAGTTTGGAATAAAAATCTGCAATTGAAATAAATCATATAAGCGTACAGTGTGTACACTAAAAAATTTAAATGTTCATGTACCTGCAGAATCAACCCAACACTGAACAGCAAAAATTAAGAGAAGGGTAGGGGGCTACCTTGTCTCAAGACATTTTCTACGCAAACCATGTACATGTATGTGCGCGGGCTGGAGATGAAAATTTTTGTACATGCGCGATTGTAGTATTGTTGCATGTTAGGGAACATAAATGTAAGCAAGGGCAGGTACTTAACTGGATTACATTTATTTATCAGGAATCAATGGTCTATGTGTGGGAGGGGGGTCTTTTAAGACTCACCTCTCAAGGTTAAGTATGATCTTCGTTTAAAATCCCGTTTCTTTATCAAGTGATGTATGCTTCTCAGGATTCACAATAACAGATGAATGTCCCTGCAAATTAATCAGATATCAAGACTACAATATTTTATGTCTATATCAGTGCATGGCCGCATTGCACTCAGACGATTACTAAGTATAGGTAAAAACCCTGCATTCAAAAATGAAAAACATTTCAGATCTCTAATCATGTATTAAGCATTCTTTTTTAAAATATTCAACATAAAGAAATGTATAAATACCTCCTATTTCATTGTTGAATATGGTGTTTCTTTGTCAGTATATGCCTGATTCTACATCTTCTGCGTTCAAATGCCATGTTATGACATAATCAACTGCGTCATTTTCTAACATAACGTATTAAACACTGGTGTTTAATTTGCAATTTCTATATAAATACCATGTGTTTAATTTATAAATATATATGATTAAGAAATGAACACTCGTGTTAAACACCGGTGATTAAAATATTAATACAATAATAGAAATCATCATAATATTGGTTTTTATTTCCCCTTTAGAAGTTTGTAAAAATTTTGAAATTTTGGCACAAAATTACTACTTATTAATGCTAATTGTAATTGCTTTTGGTATGATCTAAAGTCAACATATTGCCTTGCAATTCATATTTTTTTTCTGTGTCGAAAAATGTCTACCATTATGTGCGGAATTGCTTCATAAATTAAGATATTGTAAAAATGGTGAATTCCTACAGCAAATACTGAGAAGCAACACCTAATTTATTTTTTGATTTGATGCATATGAACATTACGTGTTTAAGACGGATGATTTGATATAAGTTAGAAGTAAAAACTTGAAATTACACTTTAAATGCTAAAGAATTAAGTACCGCAATATAATGAGACACAAGTATACTACTTTTTTTATGTAGCATTTCAGAGTACTGGTAGAATTTAAAAATTACAATATACTTATTGAACACCAGTTTAAATATCAGTGTTTATATATAAAACACTAATGTTTTGTATTTAAACCCTCTATGTTTAATTGTAAAACATGACTGTTTAAAAATAAAACACAAGTTAAACATCAGTTTTTACAGTGACGTTTTATGCTATAAGGCAGTGATGGCGTTCCATATGTAAAACTTAACTTGTGATCGGCCACAGTTTCTCCGAGTTTAAAAACGTCTGGATAGTACTACTAGCTGAGTCTTTTACAAGAATGAAATATGTGTGTGAAAATACAGACTATATAATAAAACCTACACATGCAGGAAACAGCATAGTTTCATAATTAAAATAAATATCAAACTGCGGGCTCTCCCAGTTATATAAACAAAATGCAGCTGATTTTAGCTTCAACATAAACAGCAGACGGGACCTTATGGTCAGTCAGCGAAATTCAAGCGTGAGAATATTGTTATAAAAACAGTTGGAACAACGAACAATGTATTTAGTCATTCAAGATTTGACATATTTGCTAATGCACCTAAAATGCACAATCTGCAATTCTAAATAACAAGTATACAAAATGTAAGACGTTACACTTATTGAATTCTGTCAACGAGGTTAGTAGGTGCTGTTATCATAAATATATGAGAAATAGTCGATCGATTTTTTTAAATGTAAAAATAGTGAAAGGGTTTGATGCGAAATAATTTTTTCTGAAGAGGAAGTACTTTTAACATGAGCTTGAACATACATGTACTATTTGCAGAATGGTACTTTACAAAACTGCACTTGTTTTCAACTGCTTAACGTTGGGTAAACAAAACCCTTAATGTAAATTTTTTCCTGTTTTGATGTGTTAAAAGGCAATTAATTAAATATACAAAGTATGCCTATTTCAACATTTTAAATTCACATACTACATTACAACTTCCTAAATATATATCATTGATTTTACCTTTTGCTTTAATCGTATTTATGTTTTTTAAAACGTGACTATTTAGTGAGTAGTTCCTTCCTGTTTAAAAAACAAAAGGATTAAATAATGGAATGTTCACGGTTGTGTTTGCAACTAAATGAAGACAAAATATATAAAACCAACTAGATAATTGCAAGTTACGCGACCTACTTAAATGCGAATATTTATAAAACCATTTATAACGCTTTGTATTTGTAGGGAATAAATCTTCAGTCACAAAAAGTAATCGTTATCAATTGATTTCAAATTGAAAAATCGTGGATAAAAACTGGTACAAATAAATGTTGGTTTACAGCATATAATGGTACTTTTTCTGAATATGTAAAATCATAAAGAAAAGTAAAAAACGAGGGTTGTTCGTAAAGTTCGTGGTTTTCTGTCATTATTTTATTTTATTTGACGTCATATGTTATCCAAATTTGGTAGATATATTTAAACAATAAATTCAGATGACTTGTATTGATATTTTTTATCATCACAATTTATTTAAAACTTATTAAGATTTAAATAATGCAAAAATTGGGCCACGGAGCAGGTAAAAATTTAGTAAGTTACAAAAAATACACTAAATAATGTCTGAAGTCATATTCTCTGTAAAATGGAGTAAAAACGAAAACAACCTAAAAACTCAAATTAAGAAATGATTTGTATTCAAAATTCTAGCTTAATATTTTGCTTTGTGGAATAGAAATCAAATTTAGAAGAAAGGTAGTCCACATTGAAAACGACAAAAACGATGACGCTATAGAACGTCACGTACAGGCAGATAAAGATGCAATTGTGTGTTTTACTCAGGAAAAATCCTGAATAAAATCTTTAAAAGTTGGAGGTCTATTAAAATATTGCACAAGAGAGCAGTGCATGTGTGGACAAATAGTACGGGCAGTATTTGAGTGATAGAGACTTTGTATCGGAAAAGGACAATCTGTGAGGAAGCAGTTTAACCGTAAAAATCATATGCATATGCGCTTCAAAGTTGCTTATCCTGAGAAAACAGAGTAAAGTTATAAAAGAAATTAAAACCTTAGCAAAGGAAATTATAAAACGAAAGCAATTCTTAAAAAAATAAAAGTCAAGTATTAAAAACTGTTTTTAATGAGTGGGTATTGTATAATATTGTGTGAAATTGTATAGGCCTAGGGATGGTATCTCTTATTATATTTCTGTTAAAATGTTTCCTATATAAAGTTTAGAAGGTTAAATAACTATCTTTCATAGTCCATTAGTCCACGTTACATGCCTGTAAACAACAATATTTATGCATTATATTGTGCTCATTTTTAATTTCCAGTGAGACATTTAAGGAGGATTGACATCGACCACGAACGTTTCCAACAACCCTCGTACAATAGGACTCATTCGTCATATTTATGACGTCAGGTGTCGCTGGTGTACTAGAGGTGGTTACGTAAACGCTTTAATCACAGCGGCGCTTGTAACATTGTAAACAAATGGACGTGTTCTCGAACTTGGAGCTAAACGGAGGGGCTGAATCGATCTTTAATCGAGCTGTCACAGCCGGAAGAAGGATTTATTCCAATCTTGGGTAATTATTGTTTGTAAATATTATACATTTATAGAAACTTTCTAAGAATTATCGAGTGTAACATGCCTATATGACGAAGATAGTACGACAAAGCATTGAATTTACAATCGACATTTTTGTAAATTGTCAGATGTATAATCATCTTTACCACTTACACAAACACTAGATTCAAATGGAATTAGTATATGATATGAATGCTTTTAGCTATATGTTGTTATTTATCCCTTTATACATGACAATCATCGCACAGCTAGGTTATAATGTAGGTCTACACTGGTTACATGCATTTCGTTTTTGTTGTTTAAAGAGCAACGTCCCAAATGATCATCAAGGGTAATTAAGTGCAACGTAATATTTATTGCAAGGCAAATACAAACTAAACATTCATTTTATTTGAACAGATCACAAAAAATAATAATAAATAAAACTGAAACAAACACAAACATCTGACACATTTCAACCCTCGCCAAAAGACTCTCCAGAACTTACAAAGAGATACATTAAATGGCCATTCATTGATATTGGATAAAGATAAATGATTTCGGATCAGCCTCATATTTTTTTTTTTTTTTTTTTAATTAAAAAATTTCAAAAATTGAGACTGGTACTTTTACTTTGATGTAAGTTGCCAACATTTCGCAGTGGTTAGAGTGTCTGCTCTGTCTACAGTCGCCAAAGCTAAAAACTTAACCCAATGTCGCATGTTCAAATCCACTGCATAACGTGGATTCTGTCCTACAGATAAGACCGTAAAAACCGTGGTCCTGTATTGCAGTAGGTGTTGTCACAAAAAAGATACATCAGTGCTCAATGGCCCAGAGTGCTGAGAATAGGTATATTTGCAGTCCGCCGTCAGCAAATGATGGTGTCTCCATACGAGTAAAAAATTCTTAAGAGGGACATCAGACAACAAACAAACATAGATTTAATATGTTTAATAAAAGGAATATAAACATGCAGTAGCTGTTATTGTACAACTAAATACAAAAAACATATAATTTTACAGTCCTCTGAAAAAAAAGAAATTATTATCAGGACTATGGATAGACCTCACTTACAGGCTGGCTGTATATTTGTTTCTAAATAAAAGCCTATAGTGAGTAAATTGGGTGGTTTTTTAATTACTTAAGAATATTTTTTTTCGTTTTATTTTATTTAGGAGATCAGCAGGTAAAATAAGACGTCAAAGCTTACAGTGAGCTTTATTATGGCTGGATGGTACATATAACATAAAAATTCTATTTTTCCGCATCCAATTCATGAAATGGCACCCATCCTATTGTCAGTGCTGCCAGGGGAAAAAAAGTACTGGTATGCAGTTGCATTTGTGTTTTTTAAATAATAGAAAGTACTCATAAATTATATTATTATACCTCTACTGTAATTACTCTATATAAAAGTAATACCATAAAACTGTCTATTTCCCCGAGAAGAAACTATTGTGCTCATCTGAGGACTACTCACTGGAAAATCAGAGCTACTCCCTGGGACTACTCCCTCATGAATATTTATAAGTAATTTTAACCAATCAAAGTGTTCAGTGGGCGGAGGGTTCAAGGAATCTCGAGTCTGTGACGTCATGTTATTAGCAATGTAACTATGACGTCAAAACATTTCGAGATGCGATGTCAAAATCATACTTGGATTCTAGCAAAATGAAGACAACGGTAATTCTTCGAAATGTCAGTGAAAATACTTTTTAAAAATAATTCAGTTGTTTTAGGACAGGATGCCTCGGGAAATAGTTTCCTCCCTCGGGGAACCATAAATTTGCTATTTCCCTCGTACCCATTCCATAACTGTATACTAAAGCAATACTTCAATGCTTCCAATTTAAATTCTTAAAAAAATGTATTTCCTTTTATTATCACTAGGTGTATTACAACCTAAGACAAAGTGTTGAGATGTTTGGCAGTCCTATACATTCACAGAGAAAATGTTCTGCTGGAAATATGGGGAAACATTCAGCCTGTACACACATAGACTAGTTATGCTCATGCTTGGAAAATTCTCTAATAATATGAAATACAATAATCTTGTGTGCAGTATCTTCAGGCTTTTCACAGATTTACAATTACAATAGTAAGGATTCCATTTTAATTTGAAAAATAGATTAATTTTATAAATTAAAAATATTTAAAGACAGTTTAATTGATCAATAAACAAGTACACTCATGATAATGCTATTAACTCTATACTAATTGCTACTTATTCTTATTTGAAGGGATTCCACCAAAAAACTGAAAGAGAAAAGAAGTTGATATACTCAAACAATCCCTACCAAGAGAAATTAATTTATGAAATGAAAGAATGCACACTTAACATTTTAATATTTGTTTGTACAAAAATTGACATTGAAAGGAATTTACTGTATGTGTACTTAAAATAGCGCGCTTCATATTTTAGCTGCTTTTGGGCAGACGAGGATGCGCTAATTCATGAATACGACTAAGAAGTCATTTATAAATAGAATATATGACACAAATATTTGTAGCGCTAATTCCTGATTATGCCAACAACTCCATATCCATTGATTGCGCTAAATTTTGAAAATGCCAAATTATGTACATGTACAGTATCTTTCCAAAGCTTGAACTTTTCTGTGTTAAGGATTTTGCTTATTTTATTCATGGCTGTAAATAAATAATACAATAAAGATTGTATTAAATATTTATACATATTTATTCCTTTCATACTTAAATTTGAGCATGCAGGTACAATGTTCTTGGAAACCCATGTTCGTGGATTTGACGAGTCTGTCTTGCCCATGGATTTTGTTAACATATTGATTGAATCTACATTATTAATGAGTTATAATTTAAAAAATTACATACCCATGAACATTTTTCTTGTCCATGAACATTGAACCCCACAAATTAACATGCTTAATTAAAACATTCCAAAGAATTCATAATACATGTACAATCATTTTTAATTCTTTTTCAAAGCAAGCAAAAAGAATTTTTTTTTTCAATTTTTTTCTAAAAATTAAACGTGTCAAAAATTCTTAAAACTATGTACTTGTGTTCTGAAATTTAAAAAGTAATAGTGTACTTGTGTTCTGAAATTTAAAAAGTAATAGTTGTACATCTTCTAAGCACATCTCACTTAATAGCCTAATCATGCTAATAGTTTCTACAATATGTACCAATATGAGAAAGAATCATTCGAATAGAGTCTTCAACAGCTAAAATGCCTGCATTGAATCTCTTTGTTAAAGAATATGGCTGATCTTAAAGAAATTTCACAGTGACGGCTAGTTATCATTGGGGATACTGGTCTAAACTTCACGACACACAATTTAGTTCACAACTCTTGAGGAACAGCTCAGTCTTTGTACACACTTCTTGTCTTGACTGCAGCCACGGAGCTGTTGGACTTGTATTGCTATTGTTTTCAATTCCAAAACTGGATGTCAAGTTTACTGCATCCTTTTTTAGTCTACTCTTGTCTCCTGTAAACAAGGAACTGTGCAAATATTATTTTTGTTTTGTAATTGTATTGAGTTAAAGTAGATTAGAATATTATATAATCAATATTTACCCAGGGAAAACCAAAGACCCTACTCGTACTAATCAAGCGGGGAAATATTGCTCATTATTTCTGGTGTTGAAATTTAATATAATAAAATTCAACATTGAATAGATGTTAAATTATAAATTGCAGTACTTATTCCATTTGTTAACAAATCAAGTAAATTCTATGGGGATATAAACACATCATACACTCTGTATGTACATTTTAAAAAGAAAACTGCTGCTGTACATTAAATTCATCAGATTTAAACCTATTACATTTACCAGTGTTATGTCTGTCACAATCACAAAGCAACAAAAGCTTTAGACATTTTAATTAGATTTCAAACGTTTGAAATAATATATTAAATAATATTGCCATGTGTCAAGCTATTACATGTATTAAGACACTATTAATATAAATAATTGAAATGTCTTTTGACGAAAAAAAATAAAGAGGGAGTTCACTTTTTTCAATTTAAGACAAAGTGAAAAAGTCACCAAGTCAATATGTTTTATACTGTGTATAATATTACTCATTTTTCTGGTTAAATCTATATGAATTAATGACATATACTTCGTAAGATACTAATTAAAATTAATCAAAATCAATATTTTACCAAAAATCTAATCCTTAATATCGCCGACTCTGAAATTCTGGTGACAAGCGACATCGTGTTTACCAAGCTTCCATAATCAGCTGATCATCTTCATGACCGATTTAGCGTCACTTTTCGCCTCAAACAAATGTCTAGATCTGAAAATAATGAGTGTCCACAACCTCTACAACATCCTGGCACACCACAGAGAGTTGGCATTCGTTACAAATTAATTAATTTGGAGGTATATGTCCAGGAGAAACTACAGTGTCTCGCCACGCTACCATTTGTTTACACCCAGTCAAGCGCTTGACAAATTCAAACGTTTGCGTAACCACCTCTAATACCGCAGCGCCACCCTACGGTTAATGACGTGAATGGATACTATTATCTACAATCTCATCGAAATGATTGTAGTCAATGACGATATGTTAATATTTCTCTACATACCAGAAACGACTAGTACGACTCCCTTCCTCGTTCTGGAATCTGAAGCGTTATATCCGGCGCTGTAATATCCTGCATCAATCGTGGTGACGTGGAGAGCTTGTAGTGACATATAACCAGGTGACCGGGTAATAACATAACGGTTAATGTTAATAGACTGGTAGTTAATTTTTATTGCGTCATTTGACAACAGCTTGTAAATGGTGTAATTAGAGGTCCCCAAAGGGTCAGGCAAAGTTATCTTGACTGGATCTCCTTCCAACGCATGAATAATATTAGCTATAATAAACAAATTAAAACTTTTAATAATAATATAAAATTTAAATATTGGGACAACTTTTGAATTTTTTTATACCGATACACATATAAATTTCTTGAAGAAAAGCATACTTTACATGAATTAATAATTCGATTATACACATTTTTGAGTATTATGATATTGAAATATTCTCTCTTTCTCTCTTCTTCTATCCATGTCACACAAACAAATACACACGCACATTCATTTTTAGACAAGAATGGAGATGAATTACAAAGAAAGTGAAATAACAACTTATAGAATATTCATTTCAAAACACAATATCCCCTCTTACTTACGTTTGTATGATGCAGACATTTCCCAGTATCGGTAACCCTTGGAAATACGTACAATTAAGTTGACGTCTGTACAATTCAACACATCGTATACAGTGTATTCCGTCCTTGTGTAGTCCATCCTAGTCTGTATACTACCGTCACAGGCAACAGTGACGTTCTGATGGACTGATCTGCGAGTCCAATTAAATTCCAAGTCTCCATCGATAAATGAAGAGTTTATCAGTATCTCGGAACCTTGATAAACACAGAAAGCGGATATAACAAATCAACTCTATCATTACCATCTTTCGTCATTGATGTACCGTATATCAGGTTTTTTCCGCGTCATGATTTTTCCGCGATTCAGAACTTAAATCAGTATATTAAATTTACGCGGATTGAATTTTCAGTATTTCAAAATCCCACTGATTATACTATTAACAATTTTTCAAGCCTGTGAAGGAATTTGATGCAAAATGTAAGTCATTAAGCTTATGTTACTTCATACGGATGAGAAATAGATCGATCGACCTTCACCTCGTCAATTTCGGAAGACTCGCTCAGCTGATAACACATCTGTGTTGTGTACCAATTCTCAAATTCCCAGATATTACTTTTTAAGATTTAAACAATTATTGGTCATTTACTGTTCCAAACTGACTAGCAGCTCTGGTATAATTATTTGTAATTTATTCATTGCTCAGGATAAACACGAGAATTAGAATAGGTTTTCACAAGGGACGTAACCAAAATATAATTAGCTTGTCAATAGGGCTTAATTATACCTATTACCGGTATCTCGCGCTTGTCCTCTGATCCCGCTATTTTCTACCTTCTACCATTTAAGCATGAAGATATAACTCTACTTATAATAAAGAAAAAAAACTTTGTTTTAAATTTTACCCATCTAATCATGGGACATCGGGACATCGGTTAAATTTCTATTCCCAATGATCAAAAACATTTCTTCATCATAACATACCTGGTATAATAATATTCCAAGTATGTATTTTTTTTTTAATTTTCAAACACTTACTTCTTTCCATAGACTTCAATGCAATATTCAGTGATTACTTACTGCTTATGTAATTCTTTTCTGAAAAGAAAAGACTAAAGACTTTTCGGATCTAAAAGGCTTTAAATTAATATCGAAGTACTGTATATCTACGGTTATGAAATTCGGTTCTAATATGGATCAGACACCTTAATTATTGAATCATGATTGATGATACAGAATACTGCTTGTTATTGCAGCCCGGAGGACCGGGCTGCTCTATACATATAAGTTTAATTGTTTGTGTATGGGGATTGGGGTTGGAGTAGTTATGTAGAATTAAAGGTTTTCTAAACATTAAAAGATTGTTAATCAGAATGTTCTTTCCAATTATAAATTATGAGATACATAATATATTTACTTCCATAAAGTGAATCTGTAAAAATATATGTTTTTCATATTTAATATATAAAGTTACATATCATTTACTATCGAAACAACGACAGGTCCCCTTTTTTAGAACATCGAATTTTACTTCTCGGATGAAAACGTACTCTGCACAGTTTGTGTTTTATATTTCTAAAATTAAAAAATAAATACAGTTTTAAATAAAAAGTGATGCGTGTATGTAACTTCAATTTATATTTAAATTTATGCAGCCAACATTTACTTGCGGAATTGATCAAGTTTAAAATGGTATCGTTTTTATGGATTTTTATCCGACTACAAGTTTATCTATCCTCTCCATCAATTAGACGCACGCCTTTTTACACATATCGAAGCGGTTTGCTGATCAAGATTCATTTTCATTGTTTACTTTACATAATTCCCGGGGGACAATTGATGGATACATCAATGTTTTCTTGTCTTATTAACATTACATACTGCTAAGAGAATGAAGCAAAAGAATCATAGGAAGTCAATTGTATTTCACGTATTATTTGTTAAACATACGAGGGTTGTTCGAAAAGTTAGCAGACTTGCCATATCTTTTTATATTTGACGTCATACACCATCCAAATTTGGTAGACATACTAGGGTTGTTCGAAAAGTTTGTGAACGATGTCAATCTTCATAACATTATTCACCAGAAATTCAAACTAACCACATATTATATGTAAAAATATTTGTTTTGTTGATTTGTGAAGTTTCATTGCATTCGATTGAACAGAAATCAATTTACCTTATTTTAAAATCAACATGTTTTGTACCCGCGGAGCACACTTAACGGCAATGTAACGTCAAAAAATAGCGTCAAGAATTTTAAAAAAAAACCTATCCCTTTACATTTCATACAGTATAATCCTATGCCCATTCATTAATTTTTTTTATACTTGACATTTTTTTTCAGAATTGTTCTCGTTGTATAATTTCCTTTGTTAAAATTTTATTGTTTTTTTTTTAAATTAAATCTGCTTTCACACGATACGTAATTCTGTAGCGCTTCTGCCTTTCCTTGACATTCCAACTTTCTAAAGTTTTTGTTCAGATTTTGACAGTTAAACCTAAGCTTCACAGATTGTCCTAATTCGAAACAGAGTCTCTGTCACTCAGATACTGCCTGTACTATTTGTACATGCATGCACAACTCGCTTTTGACATATTTTCTTGATTCTTCCAACATTTTTAGAGTTTTATTCAGGGTTTTTCTTGAGTAAAACTCAAAGTGCATCGTTATATGCTGCTCCGTGACGTTCTAAAACGTAATCGTTTTTGTCGTTTTCAATGAGGACTATCTATCTTCTCAAGTTGATATCATTTCAACAAAGAAAAATATAAAGCCATATTTTGGTATACGAATCGATGTAACGATCCTTAATTTGAATTTCTAGGTTGTCTTTCGTTTTTGCTTCATTTTACAGAGAATATGACTACAGACATTATTTAGTGTATTGTCTGCAACTTACTAAATTTTGACCTGCTCCGCGGCCCGATTTTGACATTTTTAAAATCTGGATAAATTTGGAATTAATCGTAATATTTTGAAAAAAATGAATACAAATTATTTGGATTTATTGTTAAAGTATTTTTACCAAATTTGGATAACATATGACGTCAAATAAAAAAGATATGACAGTTGTCCACGAACTTTTCGAACAACCCTCGTATTTAAACAATAAATCCAAATTATTTGTATTAATTCTTTTTAAATGTGTCGATTCATTCAAATCTTATCCAGATTTTTGAAAAGCAAAAATAGGAATGCAGAGCATGTCAAAATTTCGAAAGTTACAAGCAATAAAATAAATGATATCTGTAGTCAAATAGTCTATTAAATGGAGCAAAAACGAAAAAAAAAAAAAAAAAAAACCTCAAATTAAGAATTATAACTTCGATTTGTATACCGAATTATGTTTTTTATGTTTTCCTTTTTTTGAAAAAAAAAATTAGATTGAAAAGATAGGTAAAGTTCTCACTGAAAACAATAAAAAAATAACACTTCAGAACATCACGAAGCAGCAGATAACGATGCAATTTTGTGTTTTATTCCGGAAAAATCCTGAACTGACTAACAAATAATGGAGGAATCAAAAAATATGATACAAGCGAGTTGTGCATATCTTTAAAAATAGTACAGGCCGTATATGAGTGACAGAGACTGAGTGAGACTTTGTATCGGATGAGGACAATCTGTAAAGAAATGTAAAAATCTGAACAAAAACTTTTTAAAAAATGGAATGTAAAGGAAAGAAAGGCGCATCAGAGTTGCTTATTTTGTGAAGGCAGAGTTGATTTATAAAAGAAATGAATACCTTGATAAAGGAAATTATACAACGCAAAAAAAAAATAAATATCAAGCATTAGAAAAAGGATTTAATGAGTGGGCATAAGATTATACTGTGTGAAATGTACAGAGATAGTATTTTAAGAAATTCTTGAGGCTATGTGTTGACGTTGTCATTAAGTGTGCTCCGCAGGTACAAAACATGTTGATTTAAAATGAAATCGAATGGAATGAACTTCATATATCAACAAAACAAATATTTTTACATATTAAATGGCGTTTATTAAATTTTAAATTTCTAGTGAGTAATACATGTATAATGAAGATCGACATCGTCAACGAACTTTTCGAACAACCCTCGTATTTTAAGAAGCATCCAAACATTGATTATTACTGATCAGTTTTTTTTGCAAAAACATTAAGAAATAAATAAGTAATTTGATCTAAACTTTAAAGATTTTTTATAATAATTTTAAATATTGACTACACCTGAAGTGATTCCAACTAAAATGTATATAAACCAAAGGATCATGTCAATTTTTTCCAATGCCAACAAATACGCAGTCGTTAATTGTGAAACATAGACTGTTCCAACAACTCTGCTTGTATCAAATTAAATTATCGTCAATTTAACCAATAAGAGGGAAGTTAATTAATGCGCCAGGAAAAAATCCGGTTTAAATTGTAGCATATGTTTTGGAAATTGGAATTTGTTTTTCAAGTACATCTGTACTTATTTTATGGATCATGCAATCATTCATTAAATCATAGCAATGTTTTTGTTTTAAATGCAGTGTGAATTATTAGTATGTGAGTCACGCTGTAAGACTTGAACGTAGGAATATTTTTTTGAAGCCTAATCGCATCATAAAATATGCGTAAGTTAGAAGTTTGTGTGCTTCACACACCAATGACTCACACAAAACTTAAAAACATTCCTTAATTGACGACGGATTTCTCCATTATTTCTCGATCATGATAGGAAGCAAGGGAGGGGGGGGGGGGCTGGTCGGCAGGGAATGCTCACTCCTCCATGGCACCTGATCCCACCTCTGACGTTTAGGAGGTCCGGCTTTGCTCTGCTCCTATTTTTGTTGTTTTATGGACTTTTGATCTTGAGTACTGTTCGTTATCGCCATATGTTTCATTTATATAGACAAAAATGTTCTATGCTTTATGCTTATTTCCTGTAATTAAAAAAAGATATATATCAATATTCTTACATGATTATAAGGAATTCTTGATGCATGTTAATATAGCACATACTTAACAAATGATATAATTTTTTTTTCAAAAGCAGCAAATGTGGAAATGTTTTAGGCGGACGAAAATAGAAGATTTTTTTTTTAAATCAAGATAACAGCTGAATTGATGCATTTGGATTTCCTTGATTTGATCATGACAAATGATAAAGTGTTTTCGCTGGATATTTCTAGAATTTCAATTAATAATAAGGAAGAGTCTACGAAGCAAATCACGGTTTATAAATCTAAAAATATGCAATTGAATCTAAAAGATTTATTTTTCTGCTAAATACAAGCATATTGTAAAATGATATATACGTATTTGGATAAAAGCCAAAACAAACCTGGAAACGCGTTTGTATTGTAAAAGTTAAGAAGGTTTATCAAATAGCTGTGTCACGACTGCTCAAAGCCTCAAATGTTATCTTTAAAAATTTTACATACTAATATCCCTACCTATTTGATTTTTACCTGATAATTTTCTTACGATAGTATGTTTTGAAAATATTATTATAAACATAACGTTGGTTTTGTCTTTTGTTGTTAGGCAAGAATGTTATGACCTTATTTTTCATATCATCCGCGTATTTTTTAAAACCCTAACATGCTCTTTTGAAGAATCTTGACTATCATTTTGATATGAACCTGTTTTTAGTTGAAGTATCGAATAATTTGAACTTTGTCTAAATTTTTCTCATTCATTTCTTTTTGTGTAAATTTTATGGGTAATTAGATTTAAAATGTGTGTCGAAAGGAAACGTACTATTGACGTCGATACATATACGTCATCCAACGTTGCGTATATTTTACAAAGTATTGCATATATCTGAATGAAATTTTAATAAAAGTTAAATTATACAGATGTATTAAGCTTACAATGAAGCAATGAATCATTTTTTGTTGAAAGATATAGTCTCATAACTGCAACGGTGTGTGTAAAAAAAATTTTAGTATCGCGCGTTAGCGCGCTATGAAAACTAGTTTACGCCCACCGTTGTAGTTATGAGATTATATCTTTCCAAAAATATCAATTAATTGTTTATATCTACATATTTTTTAAACTTTTTACCTTAACTGCAAATGTGATTTCTATTTAAAAACTGATGTTTTATCCTTCGTGTAAGCTACAGTTAATGGATCAGCCAACGTAACAGCTTCTGGTCAATTTGAGCGTGATTTTTTTTTACTTTTGCTTTTGACGTTACACTTCCTCGGTGTCAACGATTGTCATGTCAAAGTAAAACTCATGCTTTAACCTCTTGGCATCCTGTCTGTGTTATGGTGTTTTGAATGCAACAGATTTCTATTCACTTTATATGCAAAAAACATACATGACTGTATGTAATGTAAATATAGTAGAATTGATCTTTTTCAGCAGATGTGCCATTACTAAATTTATTTTTTATAATTTCTTGTATCTTTTTATTTGAATCCCGCTTTAAGAATAATATAAATAACATATAACCGTATAATTTTTAATACTCCTGATTTAAACTTTTATACCTCTTTTTACCTCCAACGGTTCCAATCGGCCATATGTGTTTTTGAAGCATGTTTTCAAAGCTGTATTCAGATGTCCATGCTGATGTCATTCAAAAATAATTTAATTATAGTTGTAACACGTCATTTGATTGGTTAAACGATTTTATCCATTTTGTATAACATAACTTGCCTACGTCACAATGAGTTACGTCAAAAACGTATTACTCCGCTTACCGTTAACTTTTAAAAGATGCGATATATGAAGCCTTTTTCCGAAAGAAATTTCATTGTCTATTTTGAAATTAAATTATAAGGAATGAAGCTTATGTCAACTTTTGTTATACGATATAACATAACTTGGGGCAGCTTACGCTTTATAAACAGCGAAGCGGTTTATAAAGCGTAAACTATGCTATGTTATGTTATGTAAACTATGCTAAGTTATGTTATATCGTATAACAAAAGTTGACATAAGCTTCATTCCTTAAATAATAACAATCCCTAATTTTAATTATTTTTTTTTTCATGTGCATTATTATTGTCTTTTTATAGACAACATACGTTATGTTCATCTCTCGATCTCTTTATTTAATAAAACATATATTTCTGGTCAAGAATATGTTCTATTTATATGGACGTCAGAATAAAGGATTTTTTAAACGACATTTCAAAACCTCAAAGGGTTTTTTTATCTTTGTAAAGAAAGGAATTTAACAGGAACAGGAGCTTGTTCCCATCTCGTCTTAAAGGTACTTGGACACAGATTTGAAGTTATTATTTTCTCTATAATATTACGACTTATATATTTTAATAGCATTTCACACAAAAATTAATTAAAAATCTTAATAATAACAATCCCAAATTTAAATTTTAATTATTTTTTTTCATGTGCATTCGAAAGCAAAACAAACACACAATATATTATTGTCCTTAATGGACTAAATAATATACGTTACAAAAATGTTCATCTCTCGCATCTCTCTCTTTTTTAATAAAACATATATTTCTAAGGATTAATAATAAGGTTAGAATTTGTGAAAGTGCAAGATTGTCAATCAAACCCGCCAAAAAATTAAAAGTTTTAATAATAATATGGAAATATATAACGATATTATCAGAAAAAATGAGAAAATAGAATAAAGTATTTTTTTTTCAATACTTGGTATTACATGTATTATTTTATTCACTTTATTCATAAATTCCCGTGAACTGCTTAATTCAATATAAACTTTTTTATCATTTCAATTTTTATATCAACCCAGTGATAATATTTACAAATACTAACATTCCCATTTCGCCTTAGATTTTTTTTAAAACTTTTTCGTAGGACTATCTGAATTTCACAGTTACGGCGAAATGGGAACACACCGGAACGGGGACCAGAATCTGTAGCTCTCTGCTTTTTATCTATTCGAGTTTTCTGAGGGAGAGGGCTTTAGTTTTGGAATTAAATATGAACAAAATATCAAAGTACAGACACCTAACTGAAATCCCGCGAACGTGAAACTACCTAGAAGTTTTTGATGGTACGTTATTATTGATTTTAAACCGTCCTTTCAAAAATTTTACATAAAAAAGATCACTTGTATTTGTGGCGCTTCTGGATGTCTTTATGTTGAAGCCGGTAGAATTTGAATACGATGACGTTTATCCTTGAGTTTATTCTTTATGTTAACAGAGACATTTAATCTCAATTTATGTATTTGAACAAAACATTAAAAGTAATAACACCCAATTTGATTTTCTGAGGGCCCTGAATTGATTTTGTTTTCAATGGCGCTTTAACATAAAGCCATGCGCGCCGCAGTTTATCTTTTTTATGAGTTTATTTGGCGTTATTTTGTTGATTTAGTAATCTGTCATTCAAAAGATAGCGGGGGACTTGGCGAAAAGACACCTGTGGATTTCATTGTACTCTGAATAATAAAACGTTAGCAAAACCCCTGCACTGACTGTTGCATGGAATTCAATGATTGCTTTCCTTTGTGTTGGGAGATTGAAATACATGTACACTGTACAATATACGACACATAGGTTGCAAGGCGAGATGTTTATACGTCATTCATTTGTGTGCATGTTTAGCTGTTAAGGAAAATAAATAGTGAGGGTGACTTATTTTATAGTGCAGCAATGGATCTCGAAAACCCAACATGTAATGGCGGTAAGTCATTTCTGAATTTATCTTTTGCTACATTATGAGAAAAATTAAAGGAGATATATTCGGTAGCCATTTTCCCAACAAAAATTATTTTTTTTTCAAATATTGTAGGAAATCATTTTACTTTGTTATGGAGTTAAAATGTTTATTAAAACAATTAATGAAACTTTTATTCATGGACATCAGTTTTTTTTCGAAAAATTATATGCATTGATTTCATGTAATTGGACTGAAAATATTTGATTGTTGATCATCACACATTGTATCTTTATTTTCTTTAATGGATGGCTAATTATTTAATTACTGCCTTTTTTTATTTTACCGGTCATGTTTAATCTTCCATTCAGATAAAAAGTAGCCTGACTAATGATCGAGTGTCAACAAACCCACGTGGAATCCAATACGTCTGCCACATTTACATTTCACCCGTCTTAATTCATATCTAATCTACAGTAAATAAGGTTTTTAAACAAACTACTGGTAATGTTTGTCACATAATAATATTCCCGATAGAAACCATAGAGAATATCTCTGACAGATATTTTATAAAGAAGTCTGGTTAGGTACATAAAGTGACAAGGTCAATGTTAAATGCCCTTAAATATAGGATAAAAATTAAACTGTCGGGGAGACCTGCAGTCAAGTTTCAATGTTGTGTAAAAGTGTCTCACTTTTACATTAACGTGTGTTAAAAGTATAAAATGAAACATCAGCAAGTTCATGATACTATCAAACAGAGGTACATGAACTTATAGAGGTAAGACTTTAAGAGTCCCTTTGACTTTCCTAGAATGAATAGAAAAAATTAACAATTTTTTTTAATATGCTTTAATTCACTGATGTTGTAGAACTTACTGATTCCTCCCCTTACGATGAGGAAATGCAGAGACGAGCAAACAAACTTAACGTCCGTCCCCTAGGACAAGTAGCCAGGGAGAGTCGACTGGAGCGACAAATGGAGAAAGCCCTGTTCAGGAATCAAGTGAAATTTCTCAGTGATCTAATTCAAGCCAGGAAAACGCTGGGGATCCCATATCACGAATCATACCCAAGGATTTCAAGTAGACTTTCAAATCATTCAATCACAATAGAGGAGAAATATAAATACGTTAACAATGCCTTTCATGCCCGCTATTTCAATACCGTGTCTCAAAGTGTGTTAAATGCTTCGGACAGACGATTGGAGAACTACCCGCATAGAGTTGTCCCTCCTTCCTGTCACCGACAGATGGAAACCGGAAATAGAATGAAGTCGGCCTACTGTGACGTATTTGGTCCGAAATTATGTTCAGATTGCACTCGCTCGAGGAAACGAGTCAAGAGTGCGCAAGACCAGAGGTATTATTTTCCAAATATCGCCGTCCATTCAAAAGCTCTCGTTGCCCCTGAAAGACTAGAGAAAATTCTGTTGTATCACGAAAGGGACTATTTTTCGAGCCCATCAGGTGATACAACCATATACGATCTGAGTAGTATATGCAAAGGCCCGGATGGAGGAGGGCCGCATGTGTTTCCGGAAAATGAAATTTTAGAAAGAGTTAGGAGTGGCAAAAAACTTGAAGCTCAGAAAATGATTGAAATGGGAGAAAAGGAAATTGCCCCTATAGCTCCGCCTAGCAGTAGACGGAATTCCTTAACACAAATGCCACAATTTTTGCAAAACAATGAAATGCGTGTAACGGTTTCTTTTGCTGTGTGAGGCATAGTATAAAACTACTCTCGTCAAATTCAGTCCAAATTGCACGTAAAATGATCATGTAAACATTGAATTTTTTGTCATTCTTAAATGTATTTGGTGACGAATACTGAACAAAATGGATCAACAAACATTATTGTGTTGTTATAGAGAAGCACACTAATTAAAGTTCTCTTTAAAAATTGTTTTTGTGAATTATGTCTGTTTTTATTGACTATTGCGTCTTGGATTTAAAAAAAAATATATCTAGTCCATAGCAAAGTGTTAACTTTGAATGCATTGTATACATTGGAATATACTTTCAGTGCATTTATTTTGGTACAGTTGTATAATGGAGTTAAATTTCATTCCAATAGACGTGACGAGATTTTTACTGTAGGTAAAATAACGTGCACTTTTAAAATCAACATCTGACCTATTCTTATTTTAATGCCACCTGCTGAAAAATTCAGAAATTCAGAAAACTCGTACAGGACTCTACGTATTAAAGCAATAAATGTTTAAATGTGCAGTGTGTTTTCAAGTAAATGATTCTAGAAATAGGCATAAATTGCACATTCTCTTTGCAGTGGTCTTTCTTGTCTTAATTCATGATCAGCGCTAAAAAATGATTGTATCGAAAAGAAGCATCACATTTAAATCTTATGTTTGTAAAATGGTGTAATAAGCTGATTTCATACTTTTGTATACTGTAACAACAAACATAAAAAAAGACATCAGAGAATTTTATTAATATCACGTGACAATCGAATCAACCAAGAATTCCGGGAATCGATATTGCTGTCTGGTTTGGTTTCATGCTGTAGTAGCAGAAGTGGAGCCTCATGTTCGCGTGACTGCAACCGGAATCGACAAATGGATGAGCCCCTCCGCACTTGTCCTTATTTGCTCCATCTTCATCATCAAAAAAGATGACCTCTTCCCTCACCTGCATTCCGAGCACCTGCTGACACTCACTGGTGAAGCGGAGGAGGTAGAACGGCGCGTCGATCGGCAGCAGTATCTTGGTTTGAGGATGGCCATCTTGTCTGTAGGTTTTATACAAAGTGAAAAATGCAAAAATGTATAATCACAAAATACATGTATGTTACAGAATTGGAGAAGGATGATAGTGTTCTTTACGACCTTACATGCGTGCACGTGTACATCTCTTTAGAGGAGTAGGACATAATGGATATTTTACAAAGGGATGTGTTCCAATACGGGTTGTTACCGGCGATTTAATAGTGGGTTACTTGGTCATTTTGGATTGTTCATCACATTGAAGAAATGGTCATGACTGCGTATAGGGCCAATATACATGTAACATAAACCGTTGTTCTGTTCCTTATTTACACATAAATGATTGAATGTGAATTATACAATCGGAAATTGAGACAAAATACAAATAGAATACATTTTTCCTAGTTGGAGGAAGATCATATTTTCCATGACTTATTTATACATCTATAGAAATTGATGAAACATATAGAGATAACGAACATTTTTCGAGATCAAAAGTCCATAAAAAATACAACCTCCAAAACAGAGGTGAGATCGTGTGTCACGAAGGAGTGAGCATCCCCTGCCGATCGGTCACACCCAATGGGCCTGTCGTAACGACTTTTTACAATGGTCATGATGAAGAAACTGTCATATTGGTTTATTTTTAACTTAGTAGCCACCTTAATTTACCTGCAGCAGTACCAGAATCTGTTTTATTTATGAGAGTAGTCACCTTAATTTACCTGCAGCAATACCAGATACATGTATCTGTGTTTTGAAAGTAACCAATTAATAAAACTGTACCAAATATCTGTGTTTTGAGAGTAGCCACCTTGATTTACATGAAGCAGTACCAGACATCTGTGTTATGAGAGAAGACACCTCAATTTACCTGGAGCAGTACCAGATATCTGTGTTATTAGGGTAGCCACCTTAATTTACCTGGAGCAGTACCAGATATCGGTGATATGAGAGTAGACACCTTAATTTACCTGCAGCAGTACCAGATATCTGTGTTATTGGAGTTGCCACCTTAACTTGAATTACTAGTACCCTGCAGCAGTACTGCATATATGTGTTATGGAAGTAGCCACATTAATGTACCTCCAGCAGTACCAAATATCTGTTATATAAGAGTAGCCACATTATTTTAATTGCAGCAATACCAGATATCTGTGTTATGAGAGTAACCACCTTAATCTACCTGCAGCAGTCCCAGATATCTGTATTATGTGGGAGTAGCCACCTTAATTTACCTGCAGCAGTACCAGATATCTGTGTTATGAGAGTAGCCACCGTCCGGAAGGATACCACCGTGGTGGTTCTCGTTACGTCCGTCCTCATCATCCCAATGTAGATAACCGGCGCCGAATCCTACAAGTAAGAGTCACAAGTCCTTCAAATCTCCATCATTTAAATCAGAATGTTATAATAACCATTACATTATATACCTACACAAGAAAGAATGGCACCCTTCCTCCGTTTACTAAGTTCCCTTCCCTGAAGTATCAAATGAAAGTAAGTCTACCAAATAGGTAAACCTCAATTGAATAAAACCTTAGAACCTTAATTTTCCCCATTAGATTTGCTCTCTAGGGAAGGGCAATTATAGGGCTCCATTCTCTATTGAGAAGAGAAATATCTGGCTGGCCCTATAAATAGACGTTGTTTACTCCTTCCAATGCAGGAGAGTAAGATACCAAAGACACTTTACAACAGTGGTACAGGTCAGTGCAGTATACAAACAAACACAGCATAAATACACGTAACTGCAATAAAATTTAAACAGAGGTAATGTAAGATAACCAGCACGAACACGTGTCGCCATTCAACGCCGATATCCGTGACAATAAAGCAGTGACAGGTGTAACGAATGCAAAGGGTATACCCTAGCTGGTGTTGATGTGTCGTAGATAATGATATCGAAAATGGTGTATGCCTATTTATGAGTCGTGTTCAGCTTTAAGAGCCAGATTTCCGAGGAACCCTAACTTTACAGCAAGATCCCCGGTGGAAATCTTACTAAAGGGGTGTGGTCACTCTGTAACTCTTTTTAAATTTATTTCTAGGTACATATGTAAAAAGACCTGAACTTACCGTATGGACAGTCGCCTTTCTTTGCAATACAGTAGTTTCCTGTTGGCCATTTTCTGTTGTATTCATTCACAGTGGGTGTTTGTTTAACACAAAATCGCGTCGTGATCGCATCATGGTTTAAGGGCCCTAGAAATAATAACCAATTGCAAGGAGATGTTATACTTGTTAGAATTTTTACATTTTTAAAGGAATTTTACATGTTTAATTGATCTTGTCTGAAGAACACAGAATGAACAAGAGGCCCAGGGGCCACAGCGCTCACCTGAGCACATCGGGCTTGAATTTAAACCCCCCAGGCGTTCATCATTTGAACAAACTAGAATCTGCACTACCTGAGGATGATTCCATATAAATAACACTAATCGTAGCTTTGAAGTACAAAATTGTACTTGAAAAGAAAATTTTAAAAGGTTTCCCTATATATCCCTATGTAAAACTTGGATGGGCCATTTTTGCCCCACCCTAGCTCCAGGGGTCATGATTTGCACAAACTTGAATCTACACTACCTGAGGATGATTCCACATGAATTTCATCTTTCCTGGCCCAGTGGTTCTGGAGAAGAAGATTTTTAAAGATTTTTCCTATATATTCCTATGTAAAACTTGGGTCGGCCATTTTGGCCCCACCCTTGCCCCGGGGGTCATGATTTGAACAAACTTGAATCTACACTACCTGAGGATAATTCCATGAGTTTCACCTTTCCTGGCCCAGTGGTTCTTGAGAAGAAGATTTTTTAAAAATGCCATTAATTTTTCTCTAATTCATAATTATCTCCCCTTGGAAAAGGGTGTGGCCCTTCATTTGAACAACCTTGATTCCCCTTCACCCAAGGATACTTTGTGCCAAGTTTGGTTAAAATTGGCCAAGTGGTTCTTGAGAAGAAGATAAAAATGTGAAAAGTTAACGACGACGACAACGACGACGCCAACGACAACGACAACGACAGACAACGGACAAATTTTGATCAGAAAAGCTCACTTGAGCCTTCGGCTCAGGTGAGCTAAAAAGGAGACACAAAGTTTCTGCTGGTACATACCTTGCATATGAATTCCTGCTGTCCACTGGTTACTGTTACTTCGATCTTCTGTATCCTGGGTCACGTATCCGGTTACAAAACCCAGAGGGTCGGTCGGACAACCGGAAGTGGGCATGTAAAGTGCATAGGTCCCAGAAGGCCATGTCACCGGAAGCTTAATTTCCACTAAGAATGAAAAAGGGAAAACAATCACAATGTGAAAGTGTTTGCATATCACAAACAGCAGAACTTTACGAAAACAAATGATTTTAAATGAATGAAGTCGGCGGTATAAAAATTCATTTTTTTTTTATCATATCATCCTTTGACCTACATGACGGTGGAACCTCTCCACCAATGAGCGTCGGGTATTCACTCAAGGCCCTCTCTATATTGTTCTTCCAGACAGTCAGGTTAATGCCGTTACAGATCCCACTATCAACAAGAGCATCCTGCACTTGCCAGTATTTTTCTGCTATGACGTCAGATATTGGAATCATGGCCCAGGAGATGGGGGCCTTTGTGGGGAACCCTGTGCTGAACTGGGCCAGTCTGGAGCCCAGGGGAAGCTTGGGGAAATCACTGTGGTGGAGGTGTGACATGTTTAACTGGACCACAGATCCGTAGCCCAATAAAGGCTCAGTCTTCAATACAGCAGCACCGTCGTTTCCCTTCAAATAGAAATCTAACGTATAAATATATCCTTTACATCCTTTGTTATACATACAAGTGAAATACCGGAAATGTCTAAACTGACTCCTATATGTAATCCATTTCACTGTGATTTCAACCTTTTTAAACTCCTACAATCTGTTTAATCCACAACAGCATTTTCCCTACTGCCTAGTTGCACAGTCTTTATTACTGTATATATAAATAACGTATTTTGAACGAATTCATTCACAGAAATTTTTTCTCTCTCTCTCTTTCTCTCTCTGTTTGTGAGGATGAAGTTAGCCAAACTTGTTTATTTTTCTAATAAATACCTACCAATTTCAGTAAGTATTCCTCTAGATCTGAGATAGAGAGGCGATATCTTGTCACATTCCGCGCCCCTAGATCCACCTCAATAGTGACGTGCTACAAAGTAAAACATTACATATTTCTTAGTATTCCCAAAATCATTTCTATGCAATTGGTTAATCAAGAACATTTGATTATTAATTAAAGTAACTATATTAATTTTTTTTTTAAAGTTTTCTGTGCAACGTTTACTTCATACTCATATTTGTTCCAAACTAGAAAATACTTGTAGACTAAGGGTTAATTTTAAATTATTTTTCTAAAAAACAAAAAAAATAATGTTGAAAAATTTTCCACATATAGTAATTTTAGAAAGTGGAACTGTCTTCGTCAAAATTATTAAGTAGAGATAATGGCCTGAAAAAAAAATAATTTTGCGTGTTTGAAAGTAAATGTTAAGTACTTTCTTTACTATACAACTGAGTTTGCTCAAGCATCCTAAGCGAAAAAAGTAATTATTCAAAATTGTGTTCAATTATCTAAAGTAACTTTACCGTTCCCCATGTGTCAATGAAGGCCTTATAAGCACTCTGGTCATACGTCATTGGTAACTGACAAACATCACGAGCGAATTCCTGAGTGACTAAATTTCGCTCTACATGCCCCACAGGAAGAACGTATCGAGCATGTTCAGATGTACATGAAGTTATTTCATCTCGGAAAACGTCATGTTGTGTTAAGGTTTTTTGCTTTATATCTTGATATACTACAAATATTCAATCAAATCGAAATCAAGAAATACAAATGAAGAAAACTGACAAAGAAAAGAAAACGATCAGATCATAACAACACAGTCATAATCACGTTAGAAGACGTGTATACATGACTTATGTAATTGAATTTTTCTGTAATTTCAAGACAAATACACAGTGCTATTGAATGTTTTCGCAAATGGAAACGAATTAATGAGCTTTTTTTCCCAACTCGTTGGTCTTTTATTCATGTGAACTTTGCAAAAACACTTTCACGCATTCCGCAATTGCTACATAAAAACAATCTGTTCATTTCCTTCAAAAAATGCAATTTCAACCTCTGAGTCAAATTTTCTGTTTATAAGCTTGAATTTTACTTACATTTAAATGGTTTACTTACGTGGATTAGCAGAGAAAGCATAACTGCTTACTGGAGCCACTCCATTGTCTAAATCAACAGACAGACATGTAGTTTAATTTATTTATTGTGACATTGAACATTAAAATTCAAGTGAATACATTCATTTGCAAAGTTTCCTATACCCCATATTAAACGAAAATCAGAAGAAAAAAAAACTTTAAAATGAGAAATTCCAAAAATTTCTGTTACCTGAAGTAGAAATGTAATGGAGGATATACTCCTTGTACGACTCGGGGTCGTAAAAAACGGAAGTTGATGACATCTGCGTGCAACGTGGGTAAGCTGTCTTTTTGATGTATGAACTTCCGTCAATCTCGGTCTCCAGTATGTTTCTTGTCAGGAGCAAACCAGGGTCTTGTCCAAGCTTTGCCCATTCCCCGCCGTCTGGATTTCCTTTAACCATGTTGTAGCCCACACCTAAGTATAGGTTGTCTAAGGTTGTTTGTGCAGGACATACCAGGGCGGGTATTGACCATAAAAACACCACAAAAAATGAAAGCTGTAAATCAAATTCCATATCGTAAATAAAATGACTACTTTGAAATTTTAACGTTTATTCATTTATATATTTATATCATTTAATTGCATGTTTTTAACAAAACTAGGGATGTTCACTCCTCCGTGGCAACTGATCCCACCTTTGCAATATTTAATGCGCAATTAAGTTTGAAAACTGTTCGTTATCTCCATATATTTCATTGCAACCACGCGTTTCCGTGCCCCTTTGTATTTTTTTCAGAATTCCCCTGAGGCTCTCTTAAGCTTCATGTTGATTAGAAAGTTAAATATATTTAGATATAAAATTCACATTGGGTGGAGTAATGGTTGAATTAGGAGAAAAGACACAGACTGAGAAATTAATAACATGAAATATTGATTTGTTTCTTTAAGTGCATGTAGCTGCAATAATGTTGTCCCTTCTGTTTTGAGGAGCGGGCTACAGCTCCAGGCATGTACATGTAGCAACAGGGGGGGGGGGTGTCGAAATACGATTTTCAAGCTAGGGCAACTTTTTTTTTAGGGGGGGGGGGGGCTAGTCAACTTTTTTCAGGTAGGTTAAAAGAAATTTTCTTGCTGCCCCCACCCCGTATCAAAAAAGATGCTACGTCACTGAACTCCAATTTCGTTACAGGCAAGGGCGAGAGTGATTCACCTCAGATTACGGTTCAAGTTCTCCGTAAATGGCTTTTTGTTAATATTTCTTACCTTACTTCAAATAAAGTAGCATGGCAAAACTTAAATTGGTCCAAAAACATATAGAGCGATCATTATGTCGCTTTTCACTGTGTATGTCATTATCGCAACTTGAATAAATCCGCCATGTCTACTGACCTTGATTGATTTTGTTTTGGGACAGCCAATAAGATCTATGTTACAGATCTATTTAGGAATTCCTGTATTTGCTGTTACGAAAACAAAAACAACTATCACTTGGAATGGTTTTATTTATTGATGTTATGCTGTGTCATTCAGCAAATTCATTTATAAATAACGACATTTCCTTTATCAAGTTATTCTAACTTTCATGCTCAAGTCTCGGTATACATCACACGAGAAGTGTCATGGCTGCTGGGGAGAACGACTGGTAATATTTAAACGCAAATTAATTTTGCTTGGCTTTTGCGTTAAAAGTGAATAAAGAAATTAAATTATTGTTGTATGTAAAAACAATTTAAGTTGTTTGTAATGAAAATTATCTTTTCACCGTTATATAGATGTTGTGGAATCGAAGCCCTTTCCTGAAAATATCAGAGTAAAAAAAATGGAGCTGCCAGTTTGTTTGTTTTTTTTTTGTTTTTGGTTTTGTTTTGTTTTAGTTTTTTCTTTTTTTCTTTGTTTTTGTTTTTGTTTGTTCTTTTTTTAACAATTCTGTTTATTATTAATGTAAATGAAGAAATATATTAATGATTCTTCTTTAACTCGATTCTCAATTTTGTTTAGAGTTTATAAGTTCATGATTTTTTTTAAATTTAAATGCTGTATTATTTCCAATCGTTATGTACCGAAAAGTACATGCATGTAGTCTTTATTTCATTTGTATATAGTTCGAATTATTTCCCTTTCCGCGATAAAGCGTCCCGAAGAACATTATCAATAAACACGGAAGTATTACATTTATGTATGTGTGTTATCTTTGGTGTCCAAAGCTCCATTTTCAACTTAAGACGCTTTGATTATAAATTCAATGACACGAAGAATCAGTTTACAATTAATAATTTATATTCTTAATTAATTATTAATGCAAAATACTAAATGAGTTTTATAAAACGGGGTTCGGAATGGAGAAAACGCTTCATTTGTATAGTTACATTTTTCTATTCTTAATACAGTATCCTGAATATTAAAAATAGATTATTCCATTTAAAATGGCGATACGCTCTTATTGCTCCTTGCTTCAAACTTCATTTAGACTGTAATATATTCCGTTTCAATTATTTAAAAAGAAATTTCATCAGGGGTTATTTCGAAACTACAAGAATTATACCAGAAATGGCGCGATATTTATTGCAGAATAATTTGCCTAGAGTATTTCAAATTTGAACTCATAATCGATTAGTACATGTAATCAGCGAGTGTTAAATGCTTATTTTTAAATCGAGGACTCCTAGCCCCGTTTGTACCCTTTCAGTAGGTTAGCATGATGACTTTACCTTCATAATGCGTATAATCCGAATTTGGTAATAGCTGCACGGAATATTTAGGTTTAAAAGTTTATCACTAAAGGTCGACTGAGGGTGATTTAGTGTTCGGCTTATCGATATCAATCTTGCATAATCTATCTGACTTTCTGTGAAATAAATTTCTTTTTATTGATTTTACATTTCTATTTTCCAGATCTTGTTTAATTATGCCCCCCCCCCCCCCGAAGAAGGAAGGACATATATTGCTTTGCTGCTGTCGGTCGGTCGGTACACCAAATTTCCGTTCACTTTCTTCACAACCCTTTTACGTATTGAAATGAAATTTGGTATACAGATTTATCATATAAATGCATGTATCTAGAAAAAGTTGGATACGATCGAGGAATTGGGACAGAGTTATGCACAATGCACTCACAAAAATTGTATGATTATTTGGGGGAGGGGCGGTTTGAACATATTTTATTGTTAAGATGTTACAACAAAAGGATTGGACACAAGTACAATGTACTTAATACTTAGAACGTCCTCTCCTTTATAACAATTAATTACACAAAGTATTGTTCAAAAATTAATTTACACTGAAACCAAAGGTCAATAAGATTATTTAACATAGGTAATGCATTTACAGAATTTAAATTGATGTAGTATACAAACGAATAAAAATACTTTCAAAAAACGACCAGATCTCTTGATAAACAATTGCACATTTAAAAATAAACTTTCATTTTCAGAAATACTGATCGTGAGTGTCTACAATACGTAAGTTAAACATTCTAAACATAGCATTAAACAGGTCGGGGGAGGGGTGTGGCAACGCAATTTGAAAAAATTACGCAATTTGAAAAATTTTTTCAAAGTGCGTTAAAATTGGGACAAAATCAATGCACTTTGAAATTTTTTTTCAAAGTGCGTTAAATTTGGGACATACTCAACGCACTTTGAAAAAAATATTTCAAATGCATTAAGAGTATACATAAACATTTTTTTTACCTTGGGACATATAACGCACTTTGAAAAAAATATGTATATAAAACAAAAAAAAAAAAAACAAAACAAAAAAAAAAAAAAAACCCAAAAAACTCTATACTTAGATTTTAGTAATTGAGAGAATCAACTTTTATTAATTATATCTTTCGAAAAACATTTTAATTTACATGTATTCATTTAACCTCATTGGGAACAAGGAGAAGGCGAGTAGAAGGTCTCTCAGCCCAACTCTTTTTTTTATACATACGTGTAGTCCATAGTGGTCGGTAGCAAATTGAAAGTGGACACCCCTCTCAAAAACAAGCCCCAATTTTCAATGCCTATATATCTTTCCAAAACATTTGAGTTCCTAAGACCCCACTCCTTTCCCGGTACCGATGCTTATGTTACACCCAAATATATGTATTTGCATAACTGGTACATGTATGACGTTGAAAACTTTCAATAAATTTTAGTTTACATATAAAATGCATGCAAACTGCAAAACCTAAGTAAAACATTCAAAAAAATTTAAGAGAGATAGAATTTTCAAAGTATGGAAAAATCAAAATCGCTCACTTTCACATCCTGAAGTGACCTCATCTCCAAAGAGTTATCCAGGTTCAATTATTTATCATACCCAAGATTTGCAAGAATATTGACAAATTCAAGTCATACATATTTTTTCAAAGTGTGTTAATATGGTCGATATTAACGCACTTTAAAAAGAAATTTTATTTTTTCAAAGTGCGTTCATTTGGTCCCAAATTTTACGCACTTTGAAAATTTTTTTTAAAAGTGCGTTGTAACAGAGGGGGCATAATTGTTTTACAAACATCTTTTGTTTAGAAAGATATGCATGTGAGGAGACTTCTTTAAATGTTCATGCTCTAAAAAGAGACTGTAAATGTCACTTTTAAAGATAAGATATTTCCCTTTGATCTAACAGCATTTGTTTAATTATAATAAGAAAATATTTCTTTAATGAAGTTAACCCATTATATGTGCACAATAAACGATACGTACCGGATTCGGAAACAAGTTGTTACAACTCATATTAGGGTCACACCAATTATTATATGCTATATGTATAAGTTTGCATAAGTGTTGTACAGTACGAAAGCCGGATAGGCTCATTTCTGAGAAGATAAAATAAAATTTAACTCGTTATAACGAGTTAATTATCTCGTTATAACGAGTTAGTATCTCGTTATAACGACTTAGTTATCTCGTTATAACGAGTTAGTTTTTCTCGTTATAACGAGTTAATTATCTCGTTATAAAGAATTAGTTATCTCAATATAACGAATTAGTTATCTCGTTATAACGAGTTAATTATCTCGTTATAACGAGTTAGTTATCTCGTTATAACGACTTAGTTATCTCGTTATAACGAGTTAGTTATCTCGTTATAACGAGTTAGTTATCTCGTTATAACGAGTTAATTTTTCTCGTTATAACGATAAAAAACTGATATAAAGTTGATATATCTAAGTGATAGGAAGTATAGTAGTATAACATATAAAACCGAGTTGATCAAGTTTGTTTATAGTGTGTATGATAAAGATTTTTATTGAAAACAGCAAACTAGTTGTTTTTTTTTGTTTTGTTTTTCGAGGGGTGGTGCCTGTGATTGTATTCTGTTTATGTATAAACAATGCAATTGATTTGTATTGTATACTTAAAAGACCGAAGACAAATACATGTACATGTATACGGAAACTTATGACTGCCTCTTGATGTTGTGTTATGAGTACGCAGTAGCCCCCGAATTTTACGCCCATGGCCTCATTGCTGATGTCTCCATATCCCCCTTCTTTAAAACATTTCTGACTCTCAAAATAATATTATATCACACTGTAAGTGTATATAATATATGTTGCGTTAACGCCTGCGTTAGCTTCCTATTATAATGTATTAATTTAGGTACTAAGACATTGATCATGAAAGCTAATAAGTCATCCAAAACATATCAGAAAAATTAATGTCTTTTATCGGAGAAAGTTGTTATAAATAAATTGCCAAACTTTGAAGCAAGTACATCTGGTAATAGATTTTTTTTATATTGTGTCCTTGGAGACGTTCACGTATAAATGTGTAAATAAAGATTGCTATACTTATCAAATTGTGATTATTGACAGCAAGATAATTCAGGATTAATATTATTTAAACCATATCGCAAATTAAAATTGCAACTTTTTATCAATTTTGAAGTGAAGTATGACTGATAATTATCAACTAAACATCAATGGCATTAAAACTACAGCTATTTTTTAATTCATGACTAACTCGTTATAACGAGATAATTAACTCGTTATAACGAGATAACTAACTCGTTATGACGAGATAATTAATTCGTTATAACGAGATAACTAAGTCGTTATAACGAGATAACTAAGTCGTTATAACGAGATAATTTACTCGTTATGACGAGATAATTAACTTGTTAAAACGAGAAAACTAACTCGTTAAAACGAGATAAGTAATTCGTAATAACGAGATAAAACTAAGTCGTTATAATGAGATAATTAACTCGTTATAACGAGATAATTAACTCGTTATAACGAGATAACTTATTCGTTATAACGAGATAACTAAGTCGTTATAACGAGATAATTTACTCGTTATAACGAGATAATTAACTTGTTAAAACGAGAAAACTAACTCGTTAAAACGAGATAAGTAATTCGTAATAACGAGATAAAACTAAGTCGTTATAATGAGATAATTAACTCGTTATAACGAGATAATTAACTCGTTATAACGAGATACTAACTCGTTATAACGAGATACTAACTCGTTATAACGAGATAACTAAGTCGTTATTTAAGAAATAAGGTATCATTTTTAAACATCTATCGGGATATAAATACGGGTGGGTCACGAGATTAAATTCCATAAAGCCCGAAGGGCTTTATGATGAATTTAATCTTGTACCCACCCGTATTTATAGCCCGATAGATGTTTTAAAATGATACCTTATTACTTATATTTACATTTGTGACTTATTCATACTTTATATTTGCAAGATTGTGACTTTGAACATGTGAAATGATTTATTTTTCAAACCCAACGGCATGTTTGTAATCCACTAAACGCGTGTCAACCGTTTATGACGTCACTGAGAAATTACGTCAAACGTTTGTCCATACGCACATCTATGACCTCTTGACCCCGTAATGGAATTTATACAGTTATAGATGGGTCATTTTCAAAAAAAGTCTATTTTTTGAATGACATATTTTGAAAAAATGAAAGTGGTTTTACTATGATTTTTTCAACTTTATTTGAATAATATAGTAATAAACTACTAAAATCCACTGCATTGCATAAAAGAAAATATTTCTTTTAAAAAATATTGACATTTTATCTTAGTCATTTAAACTTTAATGTCCTTCCTGTTACTTTCATAAAAAGAGCTGTAAAACTCTATTTCAAAATTTTCATCAAATTATCTTTTGTATACCGTTAATAAATGAAAAAATTATCATTGAATGCCAAGATGTTTGACATTCATCTAATATATGAGCGTTTAAAAGCATGTCAAACTACCATATACAAAACAGAAGCAAAATCTACGGGTTTTTCTTCATGAGAAGCCTTATTGCGGAATGTTTATATGCTATAGTTGAACAAAACATTCTTGTACATTATTTTTGTGATTAGAATAAACAGTTACAGAAAGTTATTTAAACAGGTGCTCTGCCAAAGCAATTTAAACTAGGAAAATATACTGGTAACAGTAAGGACTCGGGTAACAGGAAGGATAAAACAGTAACAGGATGGACAAAACAGTGTAACAGGATGGACAATGAAATCTACATTTTAAATAAAAATTGACTTTTTAAAAACTTTATTGGTTAGGAAAAGAGAAATAAATTTAGAATAAAAAAAATGATTTTGTCAAATTTGGCAAATTTGAGACAATAAAAGACATTTATGTCCATCCTGTTACGAAATTTAATTCTAAAGTGCTATTAAAATATTTATCAGTTCAATTTTTGTTTATTAAAGGTACTCTATGCTGTTGCAAAACTAAGAATTTTTCATAATTTTAAGAAAAACAAATGATGAAACTTAAATAGGTATATAAATACCAGGATAATTTGTCCCTCCTGTTACAATTTTTGTCCATCCTGTTACAAGAGTGCATGTTTAAGTTATATTGGCACTATTTGAAGCACTAACTTATTTCAATATGATTAACGAAGTTTTTTAACATGTGTTATTAAACTTATATTACTTAGAAAAATAAAATTAATTGTATTTATTGTTAAAACTCAAGATATGAAGTCCAGTTTTCCTTACTGTTACCATATTAATGGTAACAGGAATGACAGTAACAGGATGGATGTATCTCATATAAATCACCCGTTATTTAGTATAACGTACTCTTTTTGCATCATCGAGACATTGAAACAATTTCTTTGTAGCTTAGTTAATCTAATTGTTTTAGCAGAATAAACAATTTAAAGAGAACTTGCATATTATGAAGGTAACAGATAGGACATATTTTAATTATACTCTACCAATAAGACAAACGTATCGACCTTTGAACCCTTTCTTTACTCACTTTCAAATCATGGCGCTCATAAACTTGAGACAACAGAAAATGATGATATATTGTGGATCATGAAAACAGTTCCTAGGAAAGTGAGATAACTTTTATTTTAACATTTTCTTTTTGGTAACAGGAATGACATATACTGGAAGGACATGTCACTTCCTGAATGTTAAATGCACAATACTAGTCTTTAGTGGGCGGCATAAGTAAAACAATCATATTAAATTAATCTTTAAATGAATTCAATTAATATGAGGTGCAAAATTTGTACATATCTTCACAGGGTAATATTTTCCCTATCATTTAAATAAGCGCGTTATAAAATTTCGGTTAATGTGACATGGTTTTACTGTTAAATTTTACTCGGAATGCAGAGAATATTTTTTATAAAACACCTGGGAGATGATCATAAAATAACTTACAAGTTGTATGACCATGTATATTAACCAACGGGAAAAAAAATTTCACTCTAAAAAAATATTTTCCTATTATTCTGATCAAAAGACAAAAAAGTAGACTTTTTTTGAAAATGACCCAGATACGCATTGCTTTCAGTAGTGTTATATAAAGGAAAACATTTGCAAATGTAAATATAACGAGATAATTAACTCGTTATAACGAGTTAATATTTTTTTTATCTTTTCAGAAATGAGCCTATCCGGCTTTCGTAGTACAGGGACCTACGATCGAATTTGAAAGTTTGGAGAGTCACCTTGACAAGCGAAAATTAAAAGGCGGGTGTCCAAACTCGAAAATCCTAGTTCGGAGGGGGGTCTTTCAGTACCAAATTTTTACTCATGTACATGTCTACAACATTGCCTTTTATTACTCTAATTTCTAATTAATCTACTCTAATCATTTTCAATGAAACTAAACTTGAAGTTCATATGCTTTTTAATATAAAAGCCTAACAAATTACATCATCAATTTTACTAAGCTTCATTGTTATTTTTTCGATAAAATGCATCGAACTTTGTACATATTTACACAACCTTAATTAAATATCACAGTCTGAAGAGTCCAAATATTAACTGAATTCGCATACTGTAGTACTTGATTATAATCATTTAATTAAAAAAAATATATAATATATATTGATTAATTTTCACCTTAAATATCATTATCTCACGGATGTAATTAGTTTATGATTTGTAATTTGCATTAAATTATTATCCGTACTCTTATTTCGGAATTAATGATATTCATTTTTTTTAGATTTATTTTAATTGATATTTAAAAAGAGAGAGGAGAGAGAGGGGGGGGGTGAGAATAGATACTCGTCAATGACATATTAAATCATTGAACCGTTTGTAGAAGAAAAAACGAGGTCGTTATATGAATACATCATTGTTAGCTTCGCCATACACCAAAATCAGAGGATACTTAACAAAAGTATCTTTAAATTTTTAACAATGCTTATACGAGGTCTGTTTTCTTTTGCGATCACGAAGCGGTACATTATGTATTTAATTTTTATGTATCGGGTCACAGCGGGTAATAAAAGGTGAAAAGAATAAAGTACAGCAGTCGAAATCAAAAGTCATCCAGGGAATAAACTTATTGCCAAGAGTGAGAAAGGTAAGTTGTGAACTTTTTTTTTAAACGACAATTTCCATTAATTAATGCTTTGTCGGGTTATCTGAATTAAGTTTTAAACCTAAACATTATTTTCATTCCGTTGAGACCTGGAATCTAAAATGTTCATGTCGAAACCAATGTTTAAACTTGATGCTAGTTCGTATTTTAATAACATCCATTGTTATATGCTGTTAAATAAATTTGTTTTCATCACTGAAGAAATAGATTTACCAATTTTTAAATCAGATTTACAATCATAGAAGCTTTCAAAATGGAAACGTTAATTAATAAAATTGTCCTTATGATTAAAACAGCTAGTAATTACGTTTTTTTTAATCAGGCAATATGCACCCTCTTTTTCTAACCAAGGCTTAAGCATATATGTTTTCCACAAAAAATATTTACATTTCCATTGTCTTTGTCCGAGATGAAATTACAAACTGTAAATGTACTTTATTTCCCCATCAATATATTGGCGCGGTTCAAAAAAAAAAAAACAAAAAAAAAAGAAGAAAAAAACACGTGCAGGGCGGAACAAACAGCTAGACAGAAGCAGGGCTTGGAGCACGTGAATTGGCGGAATCAAAACATGTAAATATAAGGAAGAACTGTCAGATATTTCAATTTCATGACGATGATCAATCGATTGGCTTGCGTGATAATTTTATGCATAAACGCCTTCGGAATTTATGCAAATCATCATGCTACCCAATCGATTGATAACGTCATGAAATCGAAAAATAAGACAGATATTCCTTAAATAAACATGTTTTAATCTCAAGAAGTTTAAGGAAACCATCATTAAAATTGTGTCAATATCATTTAAATGCCTATTATAAATGAGAATAATGTCGAATATTGAATCACCAAATACACATAGGTGTAGAATTGAAGTATTTGCTAACTACGTGTATAATATAAAAGTCCCGCCCCACAACATTTATTAGAAATATTTATAACCTTATTTGCATTCAGGGATCTGTCCTCGTTATGTAGCATTATGGACAACGATTAATTTATCCCATTATTTACATGTATATATAAAACAGAGCAACATTGATAGTGAGGTATAAAATATGGGATAACAAGAATATCCCATAATTTGTAGTTTGGTATTCTTTGTGTGTCTATATCCCCTCTCCAATGCAAGGGGTTATAAAATATGTTTTCCAACTACAAATCACGGGAGATCCCAAATATACAAAACCCCAACGCTTCTATAAAACCTTATGGAATCAGAGAAAAAAATAATGCATCAATTCTAAGGCCTTTGGTGAAAATTTAAATTTACACGAAGTATATATCCATGCATGTTCTCCTTTTTAGGTATTCGTAAGTCGAGTTGAACTGATATTCTAAGATCTATCTTCTAAAACAACACTTGTATAAATTATTGACCCGTATTCGGTTAATTCTACACAAACCTCCACTAAGGTTTACTACTGCTCCACTTTTTAGTACTAAATACCCTAAGCTGGTATCAATTATTAAAACCGTAAGTTGTTATAGCATAATTAAATACTGCAGGTCTACAAGTCTCCTCAGCTTTTTATGGAGAAATATCAATCTATTATAGGGAATACAAAAATACAGGAATGATACACAGGTTATGTGTTCAATGTCAGACTAATATTTTCGATACATTTTAAATATTTTACAGAGAGCTTTAAAATGCATGACTTTGCCGTAGTTCGTGTGTACCTTTGGATTACCCCGATTACCGTCAAAGGATAAGCTCAATGCTGGGTGCCAAGAGGACGACTAGTGACCAAGTATTAGCCGTGTATACAGTCAAATGTGAACAAACTGGTGTTTGTATAACTTGGAGTACATTAGCAAAAGGTAAGAGTAGGTAACGACTATGAAGGGTAATTCAGGAGATGTTATTTGACACCCTTCTTTTTTTCGGGAAAAATTATTTTGGATTTTTTGCTTTGTTAAGAAAGCTCTAAGTACCAAGAAAAAGTGGAATTTTTTTGGATTTTGAGAAATATATATCAGGTAAAGGTGTACATATTGAGGCTACTGAAGTATTTAATCCATTTTTAACATACGGTACAAGGCTTTATTCTGCAGGAAAAGACATTGGACTATGTGAGAATAGAAACACTGTTTTTTACGTACATTAGGAAAGTTAGTGGAAATAATTAATTCAATTACTTATTCTTGGTCTAATATAATGATAAGCATATTCTAGTCTATTACAAATTGTGTAATTAACTTTAAACAATCATTTTTTCTATCTCACTTATAAGGGCGGATCACTCTAACAGCAGAAAACTCTCGTATAATTAAAAATCTTAATCCTTAGGTGTTATAAAAAAAATCCCCTATAAAAGGTTGAACATTCTATATAATAATTAAATTAAATCTAATATGATATGTTTAAAAATATAAATAAAATATCAGTATATGAATACTTTAATTGTTAGCGCATTATATTGTTTTATTCCTAAGACAGATGTTTTTATAGATATTTTGTTTTTAAGGCAAATTAAGTAAATATTTAATAGTTCAATAGTAGAGCGGACATAACTTCACAGAGACGGTGCAATCTGGAGTTTAATTAAATCCTAGCTAGTAAAAGGCCTCGATCGAAAAATCACTTTTTGATCGGAGTGTATGTAAACATATAAACATTGCATTATAATTTAAAATCCGGGTTGTACATTAATTAAGTCTGTAATGCAAATCATTGATGGGGTGGGGAATGAACGCAATCATTTTAATTAATGTTTTATAACCTACAATTCATCATGTATGTAACTATGTATTAATATTTGCAAAACTTTGTTTTTACCGATATTTTGCATTTTAATTTTGTATTTACTTGCCTTGGTGCAAGGATTTTTACCCAAGAATACAAGTGTACGACTTGTCCAAAAATTTGTCCTCAGTTGTAAAAGAAATATTTCCTTCAGGGCGACGGTGGTGCTGTAGGGCCCCTCGTACCAACTAAATAGGGGTTAAGTTTTCGAGGGTGGGGTAATGGGGGTCCATCGTCATTTTTAAGTCACTTTACTATGGACATTGAATACCTAATCCAATTCCAGTGGGGGGGGGGGGGGGTAAGGGGGGCTCTGTCCTACCACTTTTGAACCTTCACATGATGAATGTATGTTAAAAAATTACCAACATGTTGACAACTGAATTAGAATTAAACTTTATTTACACCTAATTATAGAAATATGTTATTTTGACTTATCCAGAAATGAATTACATCTTTTAAAAGTCATGGTTTTTTTTTTCTTTAGAAAGTTTGGTACATGTAGATGTTTGTGACTGCTGTTTAAAAAATTACATGTGAGTTTAAAATCTGTAACAAAGTAAGTAAAAAAAAAGGATGGTTATTACTTGATCTTCATCTATAAACTATAGCAAACCATTCCTCATTCAAAGCATATGCATGATACAATGATGTTAGCTGATTGTTCAATATTTAATGCTTACATTGTTGATATCTTTTTATCTCAGAAGATGGAATTGACAACACTCCTGATTTTCATGTTCTGTATTCTGTGTTCCTCACTGACCTGTGCCAGGAACCTAAGCAGAAATATCAGGTACGTCCTTAATTACTCAGTAATGTAAATTATTCACAATATAACCCAGTAACCAATATAAAAACTTTTACGTCGTTGAATTATTTTTCCAAGCATATTTTTCCCTCAATTTTATGAATTATTAAATATGATAGTAACGCCGTACAAACACTTTCAATTTCAAAGATCGGTCGATAGTTTGATAGATGATAAGGTTCTTGTGATTTCAATGTATTTGTCATTGTGCAATGCCATAAAAACACGAGAAAGGATATAAAATATATATTTTAAAAAGTCATGGAGAACAATTCATGAATTCTACTTAAAAAAGTAATGATCACGTAGTTAAAAGACCATAAAGTGCCGCACTTCCAACTTAAATATAAAATGAAATAGTATATCAAGACTTGAGATTTGGTCAAAGAAAAAAAATAACAAAACAAAACAAGCAAATTTAAAGAAAATTTTGTGGTTCCTTGCTTTATGTGACTTTGTGGGTGAGATATCATTATTTTATAGTAATTTGTGTCAAATATGAACGCCCTTTCATTTGTCATTAAAATTGTCCCCAAATATTGATTTTTTAAAAAAAAATAAGGTCGAACATGAAGGTCAAGGGGTCAGAAATCATAGCATGCTCGGAAATTAATATCTTGTCACCAGGTCACAGGTAATATACATGTCAAATATTATGTTGAATATAATCGTACATGTGAAATATGAGAGCTCTAGCAACAACTGTTAAAAAGTTATGCCCAATGTTAAAGTTGTGTTAATTCTTGCAAAATTGGGTCAAACTTCAAGGTCACTTGACAGAGTCAAAAAGTCAAATACAGGTATGTTGTTACTCAAAGAAAGACTCCAGCAGTCACAAGAAGAACACCATTGAAATTTGAGTTTTCCAAAACACATGTGGAAATTGAAACAGCTAGGAATAAGTCATGTAAGTATAAGTTCTGATTTTATTTTTTTTTTTGTCTCGTCCGTCCATCCGTCTATCTGTCGGTTTGTCTGTTTATCCACTAAAACTCTAACCTTGCGCAAAGCATTTGAGTGAGTTGGGCTATAGCTTTCATATCTCAAAAGTGTTTTCCTTGTGACAAGGCATTTATTAGTCAACTGTGTAACACCGAATTTGACCTCTTAGTTTAAACTTTATTTCATCTGAATTAGACATTATAAACACACAGTAGATAATTACCTTCGGAAACAAGTTGTAACAGCTTATATATATATTAATCCGTTTCCTTAAATTAAATTCCAACTATAAATTAATATTTGCCCTTGTTGAATGACATGTATAATAGAAACAATAACTGGAAAAAATTGATGAAACGAAAGCAAAAAAAAAAAAAAAAAAAAAACAAAAACAAAAAAAAAAGCCAACAACAAACAAAAACAAAAACGGGAAAAAAATGGGTAGAAAAAAATTACATAGAGAGATATCATATAACATGAATTAACACTAATAGAAAATGAGGAATAAACAGGCATACAATACAGTACAGGATTAACAATAACAACAATACGGACACAAGTAATATTCAAGTTACAAATCTTTTAGAGGCAGAAATAAGTTGATGTACATGTATGAAAATGTTTGAATTGAAGGAATGATTCATAGTTGAATCTCCAAATAAGAGAATGTTTAAAGTGACTGGCCCTAATGGGTCAATGAATATTTTCCTTGAGTCCGTGTACAGAGGACATTCTAATAAAAAAGTGTGTTGTTGTTTGAATTTTCCCACAAGAACAATTAGGATTATCTATATGTTTTGCAAATGATTGACCTCTTGACCTTGGAGTATGACCCATTTATACCCAAAATTACCAAAGTTTACACCTGGGCATAACTTTTGAACAGTTTGTGCTAGGGCTAATATTCCATAATATTAAAATATACTTTTCTATAATTTTACCTTGACCTAAGATATTCACCCATTGTTATAAAGGCTTTAACCTTAGCAAAGTGAACAGTTACATGTAGTACTATTGCTTTCATATTTTACTCTTTTTTTCCTAATGACAAGACATTTCTTTCGATACCATGACCTTCGAGTTTGAGTTGCATTTAGAAATTTCAACCTTCGACGCAAGTTGCCATATTTGTTTCACAAACACGTCTTGTTTCAGAAATTAAGTTAATCTTTCATTTAGGATTGAAAGTGTCAGCTTTTCTAAAAATTTTGAATTTTTCAGTTTATTATATTTAAATGTCCCGTGTTACGTTATTAAAATGAAAATCTAATCGTAAATTGTTTTTCTTTTTTCATATGTAATTTTTATCTAAGATAAATGAAGTAAGTAAATTCAATTTTTTGACATAGATAGAACATATTTTCACGTAGAAAAGAATTCCAGGACACATGTTCTATAAAATAAATGATAAAAGTATAAAAATTATATGTCAAATCATTAACAGAAACCTGCAACTATTCTGACACAAAAGGTTTAGGGAATATAGATTTAGGGTAATATTAGTACACTGAAAGAAAAACCTAGTGAATTTAACTCGTGTATTTCGTAAAGCTTTGGTCGTGATTAGTAAACTTTCAGTTTACTGGTTAAGATAGTGAGTTGTGGAGCGGGGGTCGTATAGATACTTAGATACCCAGTGAAAGTTACTCTCATCAATTCTAAATTTACTAATCTAATCTAGTAAATATACCAATATCTGGTAAAACTACTATTAAGGTAGTGATTGTATGGACAGTGAATCTAGTAGTTTTCTTCGTGACATTAACTAGTTATTTTTTTTACAGTGTATTCAGTCTCGAAATGTACAACCATCGCCAACTTTTCGTTATTTTAAAAACTGAGATCAATAAGTAAATGCTGACATCTTCTAGCACATATGATGTGTGTCAACATTCATTTCAGAAAGCGATTTACGGGATCTGTAAAAGGTCATGAGGATCATTTTAAAAGGCCAAGACTGTATACAAAGATGAACATTAAAAATTCACACATTGTTTAAAAAAGGAAAATATTCACTAAATGGATCAAAGATCGAGTTCAATATCAAAACGTGATATTTTTATAAGTCTCCTGCAGAGCATTCTATAAAGCATAACTGCATGCATAATTTGGTTGTTAATCCCCCCCCCCCATCTTGCTTTCTACGGGCCTGGATACAGTGGAAGTACTTTTGTCCATATGTGTTCTATTTCAGACAAGAAATTATTGAGAATCTTCTAACGGGATATGAAGCAACTGTTGCTCCAACAGAACATGGTATGTAAAAATAAGACAGATACAGCTGAATAATGAACTTTTAGTGGAACAAGGGCGTTCGCTATAAAGATTGATTGATTGTATACTGTTTAACGTCCCTCTCGAGAATTTTTTACTCATATGGAGACGCCACCACTTGCCGGTGGAGAGCTGCAAATTTTGATCTATACTCAGTACCAGGACCGGTCTCCACGTCCGACAGTGGGATTCGAACCCGCGACGTAAAGATCAACCCCTTACTTCGAGTACACGTGGAAAAATTAATAGATAACAAATAAAGTTTGAACTCCATGAATTCTCAGTTACATGTATTTACTGTTTGCTATAGATTTAGAGATTAATTCTTCTCCTTTACGATCAACATTTTGTGCTAGTTAATTTAAATCAATCTTTTACTTCAAAATACACGTGTCTTAGATTTTGCAACTCTTAAATGTAATAATCTAGATATCTCTGTTGCCCTGCTTTTAACAGGCATTCCGGTGACGGACATAGTTCAACTGTACATACTCAGCATTGACTCAATAAGTGATTCTAGCATGGTAAGTCAAGATTTATACGGGTAAATATGATTATAAACTGTATTCGCAGATGTATATATTTTACATGTAATAAGGAAAATTAACCATTGAAATGCAGGTTTCAGTAAAGATGAGTGTGAAGTTTTCAGTTATACCGATTGTTTAAAACATTTTGAAGTCAATACGAAAAACTATTTCTGTTCATGATTATTTTTTCTTAAAATCGGAATAGAATATATCAATGCGAGAAATTTCAATTCACGACTTTTACCCGTACAAAGATTATGACCGCAACACCGAATGGCTTTCAAAAATAGCTGTTACAATTACAGTTCTATTATTTTCGCCCTAATAAAGACACTGGATTCTATATGATTTTAGGACTACGATATGTCTTTCTACCTCAGACAAAGGTGGTACGATCCCCGTCTCCAATACAACGAATCACTGGGGGCAGATGTGTTGGAATTGGATCCAAAACTCATGGACAAAATCTGGGTACCAGATATCTATATAATAAACGAAAAGACCGCCAAAATCCACGTGGTCACGGTACCTAACAAGATGATGTACATCTACCCTGATGGGCTTGTACTCTACAGTGCTAGGTTAGTCATTTTTTTGTTTGCTTTGTGATTCTCTTATTCATATTAAGATGTATCCAATTGAGAACTGGACCCGACACGTAGGCTTTTGCGAAGCGAGGCATCACCTACCGCGAACACAGGCCCTGGCCTCGGGGCCATAAAACTTAGACGAGCTCACTTTTGATGTCAGTCTCGCCTTTTTTTCAAAGGAATATAAAGTGGAAAAGTGAGACAGAGATACGAAGTTAGCTCCTCTATGTTTAATGGTCTCTGGCCTGAGTTTATATAGTGTCAAGCAAATGAACTCTGTAGGATTTGTTACAATTATCAAAAAATGACCCAACCCATCCCCTACCCCACCCGGGTGGTGCAGTGAATATTTAAGAAATAAACAACGTTATTCAGTGAACATGGCGTTATGAATAGCAATTGCTCTGCTGGCATATTCCATGATGCGCGCTAGCGCATCATGCATGCATGGAAAATATGTCAGCAGAGCTATTGCTATTCATAATGCCATGTTCACTGAATAATCGTTGTTTATTACTTATATTTGCATTCTTTGATGTTGTCAAGAATATCAGAGGAAATCCTGGCTTACATAAGGTTGCGGCTTGTTGTCTTCAGTAAATAAAAACTCACAGCTATAAAATCAGTATACCTGACCATTGTACCTTTTTTTAGGTCACCTGAGTTACTCAGGTGACCTATTGCTATCCGTCGTCGTGCGTCGTGTGTTGTGTGTTGTGTGTCGTGCGTTAACATTTGAACATTTTCAGCTTCTTCTCTGAAATCGCTGCACCAATTTCAACCAAACTTGGCATAAAGCATCTATGGGTGAAGGGGAACAAAAATTGTGAATTTCATGATCCCTGCCCCCCTGGGGCCTGAGGGGTGGGGCCAAAACCACTAAAATTAATGCAATCTTAAAAAAATCCTCTTCTTTACTCCTGGACATCAAGCAGGCAAACTGTTTGCATGATTGTAATCAGCAAGGGTGCCTCTACCAAAATTGTGAAATTTATGGCCCAGGGGTCAGGGGTTCTGGTGTTAGGGCGGGGCTAAATAAGTATATAGTGAAAATGCATTATTTCTTTGAAAATCTTCTTCTCTGCTCCTGGGTATGAAATAAACCAATTAAGTACATAGTTATGATGAGCAAGAGTGCCTCTACCAAAATTGTGAATTTTATGGCCCCAGGGTCAGGGGTTCTGGTGTTAGGGCGGGGCCCTATTGATTATATACTGAAAATGCATGAGTTCTTTGAAGATCTTCTTCTCTGCTCCTAGGTATTAAATAAACTACTAGTAACTAAGTGCATAGTTATGATAAGCAAGGGTGCCTCTACTAAAATTGTGAATTTTATGGCCCCAGGGTCAGGGGTTATGGTGTTAGGGTGGGGCTCTATTTTGAATATATAGTGAATTTTCTCTGCTCCTAGGTTTTAAATAAACTAACTAGGTGCATAGTGATGATGAGCAAGAGAGCCTCTACTAAAATTGTGAATTTTATGGCCCCCGGGTCAGGGGTTCTGGTGTTAGGGCTGGGCTTTGTTGATTATTTTCTAGTGAAAAAACATGAATTCTTTGAAAAAATTTTTCTCTGCTCCTAGGTATTAAATAAACTAAGTACATAGTTATGATGAGCAAGAATGCCTGTTCCAAATTTGTGAATTTTATGGCCGGAGGGTCCCGGGTTCTGGTGTTAGGGCGGGGCTCTATTGATTGTATAGTGAAAATACATTAAATCTTTGAAAATTTTCTTCCCTGCTCCTGGGTATTAAGCAGATGAACTACCTATATAGTTATGATGAGCAAGGTTCCTAATCTTCCATAATTGTGAATTTCAAGGCCCCAGGGTCAGGGGTACCATAGAGGGAGGGGGGCTGTACTTATATACTGAAAATGAATGAATTGCTTGAAATCTGCTCCTTGGTATTAATCAAATATTTTTGAAAAGCAGGGATGCCTTTTCAAGAATTGTGCAATGTGTGGATCTAGGCCTAAGGGTCAGGGTTCATGTGTTGAAATGCATTTTTAGTTCCTCTACCCTGCCTATGGGTATTAATAAACCAAACTAAGCAACTGCTAAGTGTATAGTTATGATGATCAATGGTGCCTCTTTCAAAATTGTGAATTCCATAGCATCTGGCTTAAAACATGAATCAAGTTCAATCACTGGAAAGTTGTTGCATAATGCTCAGGTGACCTATAAGGCCCTTGGGCCTCTTGTCTTATAAATCACAAACAATTTATAAAGTATTTGCCTTTTAAACACAGTTATCTGGATACAAGCTGCGCCGTCGTCACATTCTCTTAATTTTTGTTTTCATGCAGTTGTGACGTCATCGATCAACGTTATTGAAACCCTATGACAAAAATCAATAATTTAGCACTTTGATGAAAAAAGGCAAAGCTTTAATACAGGTTATAACTCCAGAATGCTTTATATGATTTTTTTTAGTGCTTATATTTATTTTTAGAGCGGAAATTCTTCTTGAAATAGATATACTATGAAAAGAAATGTTGCTTTTTCAAATGTTAAAACGCCCATTGTGAAGAGTTATCGTTCTTTGTAGAAATATGCGAAAATATGATAAGAAAAAATTAAAATATGGCAGTTCTCCTCAATTTTTAAAAAGTTTTATTATACAATTAAAAACATTGGCCAAAAAAAGATTTTTAAAGGTGTAAATCAGCAATATTAAATTATTCTGAATTTCTTTTTTACCAAAGAATATTATTAAAAACTTATATTTATTCCTTTTGCAAAATATTTCATATATATACTTCTCAACACACTACAGAATATAATTTTAATAGTGCTTGTGCTACACTAGTGTGCATAGCAGTGGCATTCATAGTAGAAGCAGTTGCGTCTATAGTCCTATGAATGCTATTGATGACAGCATGTTCATAGTGGGAGAAAGCAGTGGATATGCAAATATATTCAAATATTCTGCAAAACGTGTGCTTATTTAAAAGAGTTCACAAAATACAAAAGAGGACATCCAATCCGACCATCCGAAATCATTGTGTAACTTCTGTTACGCACTAAGTCACCCCTTTTCATACAAAAACAGATACTCTCACTCACACGAAAATACCCTTATTACTTCGTTAGATTATAAAAAAAAATGAATATATATATACCTGTTTTGCAATTAGGGAGCAGGGGTGTTATATTCTGAAATTAAGATCGGGCTCATGTACCTAATTTCCTCCCGCGTTTCCGCCAATCATGGTGCAAGCCATGCTTCAAAAACTGCATGATTTTGTAAGACAACTTATAGTCTCTAACTAATTGATTATTTTACTTAAAGTGATTTTACACTATTTATCCTTGATTTTCGGAAATCCCTTACATTGTAATACGCTAAACTTAGGTGGGGGTGTCATTTGAATTAAGAAGCAGACTTTATTTTTCAGGGTCTCAAGAGTGTTTTCTTTATTTTTCAGGGTCTCAGGAGTGTTTTCTTGCATGATGGATCTACACAAATACCCTCTAGATAAGCAGATCTGCGACATACGACTGGAGAGCTGTAAGCACATAGTTTATTTTCTTGTTATTATCCTTTTCCGAATATTGAAATGATGTTGCTTTCGGGCCCGAAAGAAATATACATGTATACTGGTACTCAATTGACAAGTTTATGGTGGAGTTCAGTTGCATTTTTTTAACCTCATGGAAAGGAGAATCATCTTTTTATAGATTTCTAGTCAGTCGTGAGTATAATTAAGTCATAGATATGTGTTATCAGGCAATCTGATTGAAGTCAGATCCTTTGATCCGCTCACATAGATCGAGCGATCTAATTTAATCAATATCTTATTATGTATGTAAGATTACATAATCGGATTGGACATCTGGCATGGCTATATAAGTCCTCTCTAGATTCAGTGATATCGCTACATTTTTTTTAAATTTTGTTCAATTAAGCCTGGATATTTCATGCTGTTTGTTTAGTCTTGCGCGTCTCTTATGAGTGAAAAATTCTCGAGTGGGACGTTAAACAATAAACAATCAATTAATTCTTCATTTTTGCTCCCTTTGAGCGAAACTTTAAAACGATCATGAATGAATCATGAATTTTTACAGCTATTCTTTCTATTGTCATAGCAATCAGGTGAAAATGTTAAACCATTAAATCACAATCTATTATTTTCTAAAAACAAGTAAGTTCGTCATGAAAAGTTTGAAGCTTATATTTCTTTTCATCAGAATTTGACAAACGTTTAGAATTCACATTTGTAGACATGTGCATTAACCTGATGTTTTATTCATGCGGTAATTTAGATTCAAGAAAACAAAGTTTACAACATAAAAAATACAAACATTCAGAGTATAAACTATAAGTCAACAAAGTTGTATTTTCAAAAATTTCCGCTTGGATGTTGAAATAACCGACTTACATATGTAGATTATGAAACTGATACGATTGCAAATTTTAATTTGCAAACGTAAAAGTCTGGTCTTTTTAACACGCCTACCCTATGTATGGTAGTTCATTTTTACCCCACGTCTGTTGATTTTTCCGTGAAATCCTGGCTTACGATTGGTTAAAGTCTATCACGTGATGGAGGGGTACTACTTTTACCCCACCTCTGTGGATTTTTCCTTGAAATCCTAGCTTACGATTGGTTGAAGTCTGTCACGTGAAGGCGGTGGATTACTTATACCCGGTCAGCTGTAAATCTATATCCGGTCGATGTATTACGTCACAGACATAACGTAACGTCATAATAGGCACAATATAAGCGTGATGAAGCATTTACCAGAGAAAACCATTTATGAACCAGAGATAAAACGTAAATGTTTCATCGGTGGGGTAAATTCGTTACATAATCTTTTAGTGACAGGGTATAGGAGGATACCTGGTTAGTAAATTTCATACCTGACTCAGCTCTGCCTCGCCAGGTATGAAATTTACTAACCAGGTATCATCCCGTACCCTGTCACTAAAAGACTACGTAACTAATATTATTAGGGCAGTGACCGGATAAAGCTTTGGTTTATTAGGTTACCTTTATTAGGTCAATGCAAGGGGTAGTTGCAGGATTAAAACAAAGTATATGTACAGTGAAACTCGTTTCATCCGGATCGTCTAATATGGATCTCATCTAATGCGGAACTCGTCTTATCTGAAATATTGGCTAATACGGTGTGAAGATAATTTTTTTTTAGTAAATTTAATGATTTCAACTCTTGTCTATTCCGGTCAATTTCTTAAAACCTAGTGATGTGTAGATTAGACAAGTTTTAATTGTATTATAAAGTATTCATTTTGTTCAGTTTTCTTTTCTGAATATATACTTAATATTTATGAAAGTCAGTCTTCATTTTGGCTACTTTGTATGTTTAGGTAGAAGTAAATACATCCAGTAAGCCAGAAAGCATTAGTACAAATTCTGATTTCAAAGCAAATACACGTAAATCTTGCATATAACAAATTAAAGTGAGATGTAACAAATGAATTAACAGTTTCTATCTTTGCTTGAGACAATTATTCAATAATGGACTATATCTGTTACAATGCACGGACTTTTTTCTATCCTAGATGGGCACAGCGCAGCGACACTGATTGTGAGGTGGCGGGACACGCCAGCAGAGATCTCTAAATCCTTACGCCTCCCGCAGTTTGACATAAATCTGCTTAGATCCTTCCATTGTGACCAGCAGTACATGGGAAGTGAGTAACTAAATGTAATAATTACAAAAACAACATTTTTGATAGATGAATAATATTGGTTTTTCAGTACACCCACACTGTACACTAGTAATTTGCTATTGTTACATTATTTGTCCTCTGTAGATTCTATAATTCGAACAATACCTATACTCAGAATAAAAAAAAAATTGAAGAACATGTCAATAGTAATACGTGTAATTTGGAGAATCTTCTTCGATGGTATACATTCTTTAGAGATGGTAGCTATCGGATTCAAGTTCAACTTTAATAAAAAATTGCTATATATTTTCTATATATTAATAATGTTTACCAGACACGTGATTTGAAATTATGTAGATAATATAAAGAGTGTGAATAAATCTGCATAAGTTACATTTGTATAATGTAAATTATCCATTTTTTAGGTGATTTTTTTTCTTTGCGTATATATTTTATGCTAGCTCCACCACTTTAATTTTGAAAAACGATTCATGACTACATGTATTACATGAAAGATTTTGCTGTTGTTTCATCTAATTTTTTTTTCTTAAGTAAACTACACCTGTATCGGGCTCGACATTCACTTAATGAGGAACATAGGATACTACCTGACACAGACCTACATCCCGTGTATATTAGTGGTCATCCTTTCCTGGGTAAACTTCTGGCTCAGCGTCGACGCGGTTCCCGCCCGAATTTCCTTAGGTCTCCTTACAGTTCTCACGATGACGACACAGAGTTCGGCCGCCGTTAGAGGCCTAACAGTTGTGTCATATGTCAAGGCCATGGATGTATGGGTCTTTGCTTGTTTATTTTTTGTTTTTGCCGGACTTTTGGAGTTTGCATGGGTCAATGTATCAAACAGAGTAGAAAGCCGACGAAAGTCAGTAACAGATTTACCGGCCCTAATGAACGGAAAGGTATCAGTGGTTTATTTTTAGAGATATGAATTCCAATTCTGAGTCAGAAATATTTTAATTTATGAAGCTCTTTACGAGATTGACACTATTCATTTATATGATTAATTCAATGTTTTGTATAAATTGAAAAGAAAATAGACTTTTTTTTAAGTCTTCATGAAAAAATATCCTACATTTTCTTTCCAGAATTCTCCAACTAAGGGTTCTCCAAAACATAGGGACGGTTTTTTCTTTAAACCATCGAAAGATCGAGAAAAGGCCAGAAACATTGATCGAGTCTCTCGTTTTTTGTTCCCCTTAGCATTTATTTTGTTCAATGCTGCGTACTGGTCTATATACCTGGTTCTCTGGGAGCCTGTCCAGGACAAGCACGAGGATAGCGAAGGAATCACCATTCCAGTAAACCTTAATGACTCATGATGACACCATGTAATGACACAATGTGATGACGTCATGTGAAGTCATTAAAACTTGATTTAATTGTGTTCACAGAGGATTTTTTCAGAATAATTTTCCATTCTTGTGTTCATGGATAATTTTCATGGAAATGAGAAAATCCAGCACTTGTTTCATAAGTTTGGATCTCTCGCTATTTTATTATTTATTGCAATGTTTAACCCTTTTGAATATTATTACACATCAGAAGGAAATTGTGAATTCTTGCCAGTTAACTTTACAGCAATACCTGCACACGGTGTATATCTCAACAAGCAAGACTATTGTGCACGGTATGTAGGCTTTTGAAGCAAAAGAAAGGCGGTCAACGTATATTTTTTGTCCATATTTGCAATAAACGGATATTTTTTTGTCAAAAAGCATGTGCCTACTGAAGAAAGCATTTTCTTAGGAGTATATATGGATACATGTGGATTCATGCTTCATTTTCAAGTTTATCCCACACTGCAACAAAATTCCAAGGATTAGAGCAAAAATGACGCTAAATATGTGTTTATGATCAAATATCAGAACTAAACTTTGCTTTATCATAACTTTTGTATTACTGCTAAATACATGTTATCTATATAAACGTTTGTACAAATTGTCTGTAAACAAAACAGATCGTATATAAATATATTGACGGAAAATCAATGCTATGCCAAGGGTGATTGCAACATGTTGTACCCGGTTTGTTTACCTACTTTTTTTCTTAAAGAATCATTTTCTGAAATTTCATTTAAAATTTTACTTTAAAGTAACTTTTGTGAAAGTTTTTGTAACAGCACTCTGAGTGATGAATTCCATTTACTGGACATATCTGATACATATTTGTCGTCCTTTTCGCTTTGCACATGGATGTACAGGGTACTTTGTTCTCTTTTATTTAAAGGCAACATATTCAGATGCTCCTCTAAGAAATGTTTTATACGTGCAGTATTTTGAACATTACCTTTAGTTAAGTTATTATGATTGAGAAATGACTTTGAACAAATAACTCTTTGTCTTTTTTTAATATCATAAACTTTGCAAAATATAAACGAACTCCATTTCTGTTGATACACTGATGAGTTACTAAATTCAATTGATATTTATTATTAAAATGCCATGACATAATGAAAGTGTAAATTGTAGAAAATCCGCAAAGAGATAAATTCTCTCGAGGGACGTTAAACATGTAAAATATTGATACTACAATGTATTTTGTTAATGTCCTTCTCAGGAATTTTCATAAGAAGGCTTGCCGGTGGAAGGCTGCACATTCTTTCCTATAATAGAAACTGACGACCATTGAGCAATGAGGGATCTTTTTGTTCCAGCATCTACATGGGCCCTTGGTTTACACGGTCTCCACGTCCCACAAAGGGATTCAGACCCGCAACATTAGGACCAACTCCCTCACTTTAACAAAATTATTAGTGGAATGTTGTTGATGATCCTATTTTTTCACAAAATGCAGAGAGCAAAGCGTCTTGGTTAAAGGGGGGGAGGATAACATGGATACCTAATTTTGGGTAGTAAAGTTTATAATACATTAAATTGTTTTTCAGCACTATTTATTTTTAAACATAATTATCGGAGGTGGAGGATGTCTTTTTAACAAAAATCAAATTGCATAGCATTTAAGTGGGAAAAGGGGGGGGGGGATAATGTGCATACGTAATTGGGCAGTTTCCTTTATGCCTAGCAGAAACATATCACGTATGCCATATGTATGTTTCAGTGATTTAATTATTTACCTACCTAAGATATCCCACGGTTCCAGGCAATATGCATTTTTTTCGTAGTGAAAAATAACAATGTACGTACATCGAGAGGTTAACTGAACTGTATTACTTAACAGATTTCAGGAATAACGTGCACCCCAAATTCCCAGACACCTGTTGGAATTTGGTAATAAAACTGCGACGTTCATCGAAGTCTTTTAATCTGGTTCCCGCAAACTTTAACTGGTTCCCTAGCGAAATGATTATTGTCAAGTCGTACATAAAATGTCAGGGTTTTGAGGCAGTGAAAACGCGATATCTGAAGAAATATTTCAACAATGAACTTGAAAATAAATAGGCTTCATCTTTTTATACTGCCATACAAGTATATAAACGCTGAGGGTGGTTAATGCAAAAGATCTCTGTCAATCCTGCCCACAAATGATTATTGTCAAGTCGTACATAAAATATTAGGGTTTCGAGGCAGTAGAAACGCGATATCTGAAAAAAATATTTCAACGATGAACTTGAAATGAATAGGCTTTGTCCTTTTATACTTTCACACAAGTATGTAAATGCTGAAATTGGTTAATGCAAAGGTTTTGTGTCAATCTTGCCCACAAGGTGTAATGATTGAACACACTAACACACACTCTTGCCCACAAGGTGTAACGAACACACTAACACACACACATGCGCACATTCGCGATGATATATCCCCTCCTCAACTAGTTGCGCGAGGGGATAATAAATTATGAATAAAATAGATGCAAATAAATAAATAATAAATGTGTAAACTCATAATTAAAAAGAATTAATTGTGTGAATTTATAAACGAGTAAATAAATAAAATAAACTGAAATAAATGAATGAATAAATAACGTCAATTTTAAGTTCAGTGTTAATGTTAATTGATAAATGTTATTGAAGTTAAACTTATTATATTATGATTTTCATGTTGGGGTAAAATGACCCAGGTTGTGTTGAGAAATGAACTAGGTGAAGTGAAATGAATTGGGCGGAAATGACCTAGGCAGAGCAGGTAATGGGGTAAAATGACCAGGATTCTATTAATTGGTAAAAATTAAGTAACAGATTATGAATTATCCGGTATTTCAAAATTCAACTCCTGTATATAGTTCCTTGATCCGGCAGTTGTTTGTTTCATCACAACTATAAATAGCGGTTCTCCAGATTCATCAAGCACTCCAGTTCACTGAGAGGAACCTCAACCCTAAATTCCCATTGGCAAGGTAGGTAATTTGAACTGAATTGAAATGTTTTGCTCCAATGAAATATTGATTGGATTTACGATACCTTTAGTCTAAACATTATTTTTTATGAAAATGTAAAACAATTCTATCAAGAAAATGTTTATTTCTGAAAATAGTGTAATGAAGACTTACAAACATTTAATCCAACTTGTTAAAAATGTAGGCTTTTCAAGGACCAAATCGGCAGCAACGAAAGAAAATGGCTCTACAACAAGGTATGTTTTCTTTTTATCTTTTGGACATGCACTAGTATTGCTCAGCGATCAAATGCAGTTTTTGACAAAGATATGTATGCAGGTAAAAAATGTATTTACGGTGTACAAAAAGGTCAAACATTAATGTTTTTCATATTGTTTATCTTTGTAGCACAAGTAGACGATGTGATGAAAATAGCTAAAGACATGCTTGATAATGTTGATCCTGCTGTAAAAAAATTATCAGCGATCGAACTTCAAGAGCTTGACGAGGTCATGAGAAAACACATCTCACAGGAAATTCAATTGACCAGTTCCCTAGGCGATATATCAGGAATTGATGATAAAGAAATGGTAGACAGGATGAAAACACTTCTATCCGATGAAGATTTTAAGACAGCAGCTGGATATGTCGACCAAGAGACGTATACCATGGACATCCAGGGATCACAGGCAACCATACTGCGCGGAGGCCAAAAATTTCTTGAACCTATCCAGCTGAACTCTTTGGAAGGCGTAAATGAGTTCGACATAATCCAAATCGCTAGCCTTGTTATTGAAAGTGTATTATTTATCCTCGGCGTTATTGGTATTAAAATCCCCATTAAAAATTCTCTTCTTAAAAAGATTATCCCAGCAGTCAGTCCTACATTGAAGCAGCCAGCTTTTAAAAGAGCAGTAAAGGCATTCCTTAGAGCCTGGAAGAGTGGAGGTCCCGTGGCAAAAGCACAAGCTATTTACAAACTCATAAAGAAATGCAATGACTTTGGCATTTTCTGGAAAATCGTGAAAATGTCTTTGGCAGAAATGAAATGGTATGACTATGCTAAAGCCATAGCAGAAGTCACCGCTACAATCGTCGCTACATTTGCCACCGGGGGTGCTGGTCTGATTGGGAAAATAGCTCTCTCTGTCGGCGATGCATTAAACATAACGAAGAAAGTCATTAACCTGTTGAAAAATGAAGAAATGGCTCAAGCTTTTTAAAAAAAAATGATTGACTTGAATTTGACAGGAAGATTAATCGGTATATGTTTGTCGTGTCAGGTCCAGTACAGCCAGTACATTTAATTAATATGTATCTAGAAATACCTACTGTATTTAATAGCTACCGGGGTAGCTTTTTAAAAGCTTTTTCAAGATAACTTTTCAGAATTTTCCTTGATTTCAAGAAAACAAAAATAAAAAGAAAAATAAAAACAAGTAAATGTATACGAATAGTTTTTCAAGGATTATATGAAAATCAATCTACAGCATACTAGCCAAAATTAATTCAATTTAAAAAAAAATTATGCTTTGATTCCTTTGAATAAAAAAAAATAATTGTTGAAATGTCAGAAGAGAACCTTTGTCCCTGTTACAAATGATGTTACAAATGATGTTTAATCCTTTACTTTGAAATTAAGGGAAAATCCTGTTGTATATAGCCCAAAAAGATTAAAACTTTGATTTCAATTGCAGAGAAAGGGACTCATCTCCAATAGTATTTTTTCCTGGATTGTTTTCAGATTTCAAAATTGAAAATTATCACTGCATCAAAATGCAATATTCTATGAAATTCATATTTAATAAAAAATGCAAATTTAAAAAAATAAGTTTGATTTTATAGAGCTCTAAATGAACCTACTTCAAGTAGGTAAATAAAGCTAAGTAGGTAATTCAAGCTACGTAGCTTGTAATTGTCCTGGTGTCCAGTCAACTCGTAACCAAACTGAGTCATTAACCCAGAGTCAACTCGTAACTGAAGTCAAAGGCAATGAACACATGATGAACATACACATGTATTTCTTTTTGATATATTTTCATTCAGATATCTGATTTATTATTTAATATAGTTATATACTCCTTTACTAATTATGTGTATACTAAATAAGATATTATAATAGTACATGTCTTTGTATATAGTATAACACTCTATCTGTAAGTAACAGTTTTGGGTATTA